ACGAGTAGATTTCCAGTTTTTTGTTATATACTAACCGAGAAAAGACTTAGATTCGTTCGATTCATTTATTGTGGTTCTAACTGGTTTGGTTGTTTGACGGTCAACTAGTTTTTCATATGGTTCATATTTTCTCCTGAATAGTTCCCAGTCTAAAATTCTTAATTTTAGCGTTGACCTTTTTTATTACATTTTTCTGGAGTTTAGATTGCTTATAGAATGCTCTTTGGATGATTATGAACGTTAGGGAAAAAAATTTACATTTTTTGCGCTTGAGTACTGACGTATATGCATTCATGTCACTTTAACTCGGTTTTAGTATCACCAAACATATTTTTCGTAATAACTTAAAACCAATTTATTAATTCATTATATAGGAATAATATATATTTGTAAAATCTCAGCGAATGAATTTGTAGTAAATCCAACGTTTCGCCTGGCAATCTGGTCCAAGCTTTTTCAAGGAATTATAATCAAACATCAAAATTATCGAATATAAATAGGTACATGGTTCTCTGGGTTCATTGTACAAGAACTAGATATAAACAAAGTTGTTGTGAATCTATCTGACAACCATTTAAATCAACATGAACTATCATTGCTTAAAAAAGTACAAATATATATTATTCCTATATAATGTCTTACATCAACTCGGCGCTCAAATACTGTGAAACTATTCGCTTTAATTTAGACGAGAGTTCTTATATACAATTTATTAATTGTCTGTAGCATAATTTGTGAACAAGTATAGTCCACCCAAATGTAGTTGGTTTATAAGTAAATGAACTTTAGACAATAATCGTTTGTAATTTCCAAAAGATATCTTCTGTTTATTGCTGACTCATTTTTAAGTCAAATATGTATTTGTCGATTTCAGTATTTAAGAGCAATAAGAAGTGTATCTTCTTATGTAAAGTGGCATGTTAAGTCTAATCAAGTGTTCGTTCCCCTATCTAACTAGCTCATGTTTTAAAATAACATTGTTGATCGGTAATTTTGCAATACTCTTAGCAAACAATTAATATATGTACAGAAAAACAATTATTATTCGACGTAGGATTCTTAATTTAACAATGAATTCATTATTGATTTCTACATCAGAAGAACTAGACAGAGGTTCAATTCTATATGGGGCTAAAAATGGAGTTCAAAAGTAGAATACCAAAGAGCCCCCTAGAAAGATTATATATTGGCTATACTTGATCCATTCAGTTCAGTTAAGTTCCCTTATTTGTGTTCCACTGTTTGAAGCAGCTGTTACTCAGGTTCTAGTCATACTTGGAATAAAAGCAGTCAGTTTTTGGATATATTTTTCATCTAGCTGACATGTTTCAGGTGGATCAATTTCTGCCTATTACAGTTTTGATAGTAAATACCTCATGAACTGTATGTAAACTCGGCGATGTTAAAATGAAGGTGTATCATATGGCCGAAAATCCGGAACGCACATCAGAAGAAAGGATATTCATTTAAAATAGACAAAATACTACTAACAAGCACAAGGCAAATCAAATAATTACATTAGTAATACTATTGATGCCATACTATAAATAATAATTAATTAGTGATTTTAAATAACTGTACTTTCTGTTAGGAAATTCGCTAATTTTAAGGGATCAAACATAACCCAGAGAGTTTAATAAGTGTTGGTGAAGAGTCAAGACAAACAATACAAAGCAAAATGATGTCAATAGAGTGTCAGCTTTCTGCAGTCAAAACACAAAAGCTTAAATAGTAAAGGTCAAAACTCATGACTTCAATTTAATCGTAAGAAATTTTGATAAGTTAAAAGTAATAGCAAATAAAGGGATGTAGTGTAAATGACTCATGGCAATAGGATACACTCTTTAGTGAAGGGTAAGAGGAATGATAGTGGAATAGAGAATGAAGTTTTGGAAGTGCAGTATATGGAGACGAAATGTGGAGAATTTTATTTATTTGAGAGAACATATTCAGCACTTAAAATTACGTAATCACTCTTTGCTTCATATATTACTGAGGATCTAAAATGACTCAATATGCTGGTTTATAATTCCAGTGTTTTAAGTGTCGAACTAGCTAATTCTAGTTTTTTTTTACTTAACAGTTCTAACTATCAAAAAGAATAGCATTGGTTCTGAAGAGCACGACTCGAGTAACGGTGGTTTGAAAATTGATTTGGGTTCAAGTAAATGCTAGGAAATAACTCACTTGCACTCAAAATTACAGACTTCCAACATCATATTACTCTGCTAAAGAGCGACTCTCCGTCGTATTATGGGACATCACAACTTATATATAAGCGCATTTACTTATGCGGTCGTTGTACACCCTAGATAGTCATGACACTTTTGAGGGATACAAACCCACAACATGAAAACATTAAGTAGTGAGTTCAAATACTATTCGACATGCAGTTTAAAGAAGCTACAAAGTGTACTTTTAACCACTCAATATATATAGTTGCAGTTCCCATCATCATTTAAGTCAATAATTGTAGACAGACGAGTTTTAAAAAGTGACTGTAAACATGAATCGACGTTCTGGATACTTCAGTTCAAACATACGGTACTTAAAACCTTCAACAAGCAAAAATAGAAATTCTTTTCTTTGATATTAAGATTAATTATCACATACTCTACCAATTCAACTGTTGACCTTGAGGTTTAACCCTGACATTTGTTAATAAAAAGAACCAAGTCATATGACCTATTAGAATTAAATTTGTGAGATTTTCAGCAACTGGTATTAAAACTTGCTCTGTAGTTTGTGTAAGTCCATGCTTGGGGAAATAATCAACGTAATAAATATCTAAGACACACTAGGTCAAAAACTGGTCTGTACTAAGTAGTTGTCCAATCATATCCAGAGGTTGAATTTGATTTACTGTATGAATGAGTCATTTGATGTGTGTATGAAGAGGATATCCAGTGAAATAGCTTAAAAATGTCAGTTTTGCATAAAGGGAAAAAAGGTTAAGGTCACATGCAGGAAATAGGCAGTGTGTATGAAGTTATTAGTTAGACGTCCCCCATGATTATATTAAGTTCGGATAGATAACCTATGATCTGAAGTACCAGCTCTAAGATCGAATAAACTGTACAGACAAAATCCATCATGTGACGAAGCATTCCCACTGAAAGTTATCAGTTTAGACTGTTATTATGAAGGTTAGTGACAACAAAACATGTTACATGGCAAAACTTCGAAATAATTAATCAGTGAGAAGAAACATTAACTGTTGAGAAAATATGTTCACGAAGGAAAACGGAAGCAAGAATGCAATGTAATTCCACGAAGTAATCACAAAGAGATGATCTATTTTAAACGTAAAATACAGTTATTGGTGTTAAATCTGATAGTTACTATATATGATGGAATTCTGAGCAACAGCTTGTTGCTACACAGCAACATTTAGGATGGGGCGAATAAACAGAACTTTGAAACGAGATTCTCTGGAAAATCAGCGGATATGTTTTGTTTGTGTGAATTTATTGAGCGATTGGCTTATGACCTTTTCCAAATTGACACTCTAACTATCATAAACATTTGCAGCATCTTTTACCGTTCATAAATTATGATACATTGACCAAAAACATGTTAGTCATCTTGTGTCATGTGTCCCAGTTATGTACATGTTGGTCTTATACTTTATGAGTATAATTACGTGAGTTTCTAGATCTTAATTACATAGAACAAAAATAGATATCTAGTTGGCTTTCCAATTGCTTTTTTAGCAGCTGGGACTGAGTAGTAATATAGTGTAGGCTACTGAAAGTGTGTCCAGGGAAAATCAATCATATCACCCTGCTCTCAAAATCGCAAACATTTTCTTGATGAAACTTGTAATAAAGATACTAATGTGATCGACAGAGTGGACGCACTTGATTCGGTGATAAACCCTTGAGAGTAATTGATGTGATATATTAGATATATGATATCTAACTGTGCGGATAACACTTAGAAAATACGAAAAAACGTAAGGATAATATTTTCTAAATGAAATTTGAAGTTTTATATGAATCAGAATTAAAACTTCCTCATAAGATAGCAACTTAGTAACTCGTTTGAAATATTAGGATCTAAAACCAAAGACAAACGAGAAGTAAATCTACGGAGAGTAACGACTTTTCTCTAGCGTCACGATAACTTCGTTGAATAAACGGACAACGGTATAAAAAACATCTAAGAACACATTTCAGTTCAGTGGTTCTCTTAACAGCCACTTATCAGTAAAACTGATTTCTCAGTAGGCCTAAACTGAAGACTTACAAAAGTTTTTTCTTTGTCAATAATGTATGTTAAGAATTGTTAAGTCTTAGATGCTTGGGATATAAATCAGCAGGAAAAGTCTGGGGAGCCCTCTACGGGTTCAATAGAAACTTCTCTTACGACTTGTTTAAATATGTTATTACATTAGTGTAAAACGATATGGAAAAGTCAGTGGATATTAAAATCAAAAGAAATTTCATGACACCATAAATCAGAGCTGGATAAACTGTTGATTCGAGAAACTTGATTCCATGTTTCTTTTTTCTTGGTAAGCATGGATATTGACAAGACTGCCTGATATTCAGTTTTGTAGATAAAAATGAAATCAAAGTATATGGACGGAAAGTGCTGGTGGGCGGCCCATACTCCTTCACCAGAGTAACAGGCGTAAGTAATTAAGTAATACATACATCTTCAACATAACGAGAATTCTTGAAACTAACGAAACACCTGTTGCAATTTTGACTGAGTAAACTAGAAACGGATGTGATAACATTAGGTATGGTCAGAAACAGCAGCTATTCGTAAAACCTTGATCGAACATGTAGTAAAAACTTAAGATAAAGACAAAATAATATAAATGAAAAATGTGTATTGAAATATAACAAGCACCAAAAAAGTAATACAACCGGATGACTGTAGGATAAAAAACGGCAACATTAATCCAAATAAAGATAGTATCAAAACTACTGTGTTATGGATCGTAAAAAACATATTTTAATTGATCAAAAGAGTAAAAAAGTGATACAAGTACTGATGTCTATAACTGTATGAACAACACACAGGGATATATTATGTTCAATCATGCCTTGTGACACATATGAAGTCAAAATATACTTCCTATCAGTTTGTGATTTGTTCATTTGATGAGTATGCTTCATCTGCTAACTCAAAATATCTTGCAGCCAAACGACCCTGTAAAGCACTAGACGCAATTTCTGCAGCTTGAGTGAATAGATCTCCTGAAAACAAAATAAATTAGAAGTGAAGGAAAAAAGTTCCAAGTCATCTTTCGTTATATTGCTAAGGTTGAGATTTATTTTGGACGTAAAAACTTGACGGAAAATCCAAAAACAAAATTTTATGGTTACAATGTAAGTTCTTAGAGGAAAAAGTTATACAATCAAGGTTAGGAAAATAAACGTTATTCATTGTATTTTATTCTTCAGCATTTTACACCTTAAACTTGTAGGGATAAATAGATTGTTATTGTTATGACAACATAAATCGTCAAGTTTATAATTGTGCTTTTCTTAGTAGTACGACAATTAAAAAAGTTAGTGAATAACGCACTTGTTTCCTTATAGTTGCCATTTTTCGGTCAATAGCAACTTGAAATGTATTATCTTGTCAACATCGGATAGTCAAAGACATTCCACATAATCTGTTTGACAATAAATGATTTGTATGACTGAATACTTTCATATATAGAAAAAGGTATTACGATGGTAGTTATCAGTATACGAATGTTGTTATGAGATTCAACCGTTTCTAAACTTTAGGCTGTAAATAAAAGTATTGGTGATTCACCTAGCTTGAATCCAAGAATTTTCAACACTATATGCATGGCCCTAATTATTCATAACAGAGGAATAAGTAATTGGAAGATATTTGATGAAAATATTAAAAAAGGGACTGAACCAAACTGTTACACAACTTATACCTTCATTATATCTTCTTCAGGTTTATAAACCTATGGAAGAGCGTTTGTTCAAAAATCATTGAATAAAAAAACAACGTAGGATTTGACATACATAAAGAACAGTCTAGGTCTTTACACTTTACTTCAGTACACAAAAATTTAACAGAAGGAAAAATAAATAAACAATAATTATATTAGCTACAATGGTAAACTAAAAACAACAAACAAGTCTCTTTGAACGAATAAACTGATTTATAACACTACGATTTTTAAGCATTCAGCCTTTGATGTAATAATACTTGAATAAAGCAAGAACGAAAAATTTACAGAATAAAATGAATTCATCATATTTCAAGGCTTCTGAGCAGGCGAGAACGGCTTGACGGTAGGATTACTAGTATTATTATAAACAAAGTTTTCTATACATCAGTTAATGAGGTGTAGTTCGAAACGAAGAAAAGTAAAGTGTTTACAAGTGAGATGTCTGAACACCTAATGTACAGCGAACATGAACTAGATATCAAAAAGGCATTCCAGATAATTAACGGAGACTACCACAATCAAGCGTTTTCGGCCAGACCTCTGAACACAGTAAGTGTGGTAACAAAACATTTCGTTATATGACTTCATTTTTAACATACAAACACTATTCACTCTTAATAATTATGTTGAATACGCCTTGTATTCTTCCTACTTCTCATGTCTTTCTGTGTTGCACTAAACTTCTCTTTACTGATTAAGGAATGAACAACTTTGTTCATAATAACATTAGTTATCGTAGCTTGAAGTAATTTGTATCTGACGTCAAGCCTTTAGAATAAAATGGATTCATTTTATTCTGTAAATCATGGGATTCTCAATCTACTTGAGTTTCTCAAAGCAACAAGGTGGACGAAATAATAATTATTACTAGTATACTGTATCCATTGACAAACTCTACTACTTTGTTAAACAGCGCGAAGTATCAAATTTTACAGGTAGAAACTTACCAGCTAAAGAAAAATTTTGTTTAAGACCGAAGCCACCGACAGAATACATTTCAGCCATACGAGCCAAAATACGATAAACTGGTAACAAATCTTCAGCAGCATCGTAGTGACCTTCAGCATCTAAACCTTCATCTGTACACCCATCACTGGAAGTGGATGAACCCATCGCACTATCGACTGCTCGTTTATACCACACTACAGCTTCGGACCAAGAATCAGGGGATATGGAGGAAAGTAATGAATGACTATCGTTGTTCAGAAACGACTGTAAAGCAGGAAGCATAAGTATGTCACGCGAGGTTGTTGTAAAGTTGAATTGATGTTCTGGATTTAGGAAATTAACTGACAAATCTAGATAGCGAGCGAGTAGGATCATGCATCGACGATCACCACCTTCTGCAGCACGCCAGAGATGATCGATACCAATACGGATATCACTTGGATCCGGCTGATAAGCGAAAGATTTATTAATAAACATAAGGTTAAGGTGGTGGAGTATCTAAATGTTCGAAGGACCCTAAATCTACTAATAGTACCTAAATACTGAATTTTGGAATCAACATAAATTATATTTACCACATGAGATATGGATACACATTCAGTCAGTCAGCTACAACGTAGGACCAAGCACATATATGAGTCAGTCCAAGTTGCCATACCTTATCAAAACAAGATGAACACCGAGTTCATAGAAGTAGTTAATTTAGTGGTGGTAATATATAAGAGAAAGATTGAATATAAGGAAGAAAGACAGATATGAAACAATTTCAATCTCAAGGTTTAAGGGAAGACAAAGACTGTATACACCTACGCCATTGTAATCGATTCTGAGCTATGTCACCCAGTCTCCAACCATTGGTTACGATAGTTACGCGGACATCAACCATTTATTATTTATTTATTTATTTAAACACATGAATATTGGTACAAGGAAGCACCAGATACATATGTGCCACACAAATCTCATTCGATTTGTGTGAGGGCTGGGATACTGTCCAGGTGCCAAAACCGAAGCAGGTGGTTTTCTTGAGGGGCCACATCCGGAGCCTTTGACCTAAAGGTCTGATCCACAAAGCAGTGGAGCATCGTAAGGAGATGCAGACCCATGGTAGCCGGTGACCGACGATTAGTTCATACGCCATTCGTCCCCTCAGGATACTGGAGCCCATGTTCACCATTGGTTTGGAATCAGGGGTTTCTAACCCCCCTAGATGGATCCTCCATGTCCACCAACACGGACATTCGCTTTTCGTCCTCTCGATTTCGTAAACAACAGTAATACCACGAGAAGGCAGTGAGTAGGACTTCCTTGGCAGAGGCTATATACGCGTGGCCATGTGAGAGCATTTTGAGAGGAAGAGCGGACTCTCCCCACTCTCGGCCGTACCAGGGCATTTGGGGGCGGATACCAACCAAGTAGTTTGCATCTACCAACATGGCTCAGACTAGAAGTTAGTGACTTCAAGCACTGATGCCACAAATTCAAGATAAAAGACAAACCTAGTTTACATTAGTCTTTCTTATCACAAGAAAGAAAATACAGAAAAGCTGTAAAATACTTTGGTTTCACGCGATAAGCTACAGAATTTGGTAATAAATGTATCTGTAACTATGTGGACCAGTAGTTTAGGGAACAAACTTCGAAATTAGAAATTTTATACGAAAAATAGTTCTTAACGTAACTGGCTTTGAGTGCTGAGACTAAATGTAGAAATTTCACATGGATTACTATATTATGGGGTAAATAAAGATACGTTAGGTAATGAAATTGATCATGCTGAGATAAAAGCAGTCTAGATTTGGAAGATGGTCGTTTAGTTTCGTGGATTGGTTGGGGTTAGAAATTAACACAGTTGGACGCCGGCTTAGTGGTTTAGAGGTTAAGCGTTCGCGCGCGAGACTGAAGGCTCTGGGTTCGAATCCCGCGAAAGGGGTCGTGGATGAATACTACTGAGGGGTCCCACAACAGGACGAAACGACCATTCAGTGCTTCCAGGTTTTCAATAGTGGCCTAACATCAATCGGTTCATGATCTCAATCAAAATATTCAGGTCTGTCGGAAACTGAAACTAAGAGAGTGAATGGTATTCCATAATTATCATTATCTCACGAAAAGTGAGTTAAGAAATAAAATAACTTACCTTTATTGGGCATTCCAGTAGCAGCTGAGTTGGTAAACCAAGATAATAATGTGCCATGACTATCATGGCTTCCAGACAACCTAGCTGAGCAGCGTGACGTTCATGAAATAGGACAGCTGACCAGTCGATCAAAGTTACTGGGTCGTTATTTGCTTCGTTATGCGATTCATCGAACTCACTAAATTCGCAAGAGTCTTTGTTGAAAATTTCTTCACCTCTTAATGCTACATGTGACCATTGACCTTTATTTGGAATGAAACGCCCAGCTTCATGAAGTCTAGCAAGTTCGTGATGTATCTGTTTTTTTTTTAATAAAAAAATAAAGCTTCACTCTTTAGTTTACTACAAATAATCTGAATAACATTCATTCAGCACAAGCAAGTGGCTATCAGGACTCAGTGGCCGAGTGGATAACGCGATGGCGTTTGAAGCGAGGGTACTGGGTTCGAGTCCCAGAGTGAACATCAACTCTGAGATGCAGGTACATCCAGCTGACGAGTCCCAAATAGGACGAAACGCGCGTCCTGGATTCCACTGCTAGCCACTATCCATCTCTGCTTACCAATCTGAATAACAGTTTCAATGAATTAGTAGAACGAGTCTATTTGAGGGGAAAAACTTAAATGTTCAGAGAAAGAAAATGAAAGACAGTGAAGCCAGAAATGCTTATTTAGACTAAACAATATTGAAATATAATGCACTGCTTGTTTCTTATTTATGTACTTACATTTTATTAATACATTTCTTGTAAACAATCTAAAATTGTGACATTTCCAACACCATAAAAATTGTGTGGTTCAAACATTACTACTTATTGATTGAATTTGAATTCACCCTTCAAACTTTATAATCATAAAGAAAAGTAAAGATAGAAAGAAAATTCTTCGAAAGATCTTACTAAATTTATTGATTCAGATATTTCAGTAAGAAGTATGGAAGTGATTACCATTCAAATAAAAAAAAGAAGCTGGAACAAGTCTTTCTAGTTTCATCACATCAATGAGATGAGGAGAAAACATAAACACTTGGTTTATAGTATATGTTTTGGCTATTTGGATCTAGTGACTTAAACAATGAAGATTGGGTTGTGAAGTACCTTTTGGGAAAATTAGAGATTATGGTACGGATTTAATGGGCAAATAAAAAGATACATAACAAATATGACGGACCTTTAAGGTGAATGGGTATTTAATGAATGTACCAAAGGTCATACAATGTCTCTCGTTCTGTAGGTAAAATTATGGGAATTTTCAGAAGAATAACTAACAACACATGAACCTAGATGGTGTTTGTTATGGATTTAAAAAATAAAGAACGCCGTATTGCTATTTTGTTATTGATTCTATCAATGACGTTCAACTGGTATGAACAATCTAGCGTCTTTATTAGTCCTCGTCCGCTTAGCCCTTCCAATTTGAGTCCAGAACACCAATTACAGCTTCAACTATGCGAATCATTTATTTCAAGCATATTTTGTTTATATACCAGACAGACAGACCACATCACACCATAAAATAGAAAATAATATTTGTACAAGATCGAGCCAAATGTGGCTGTGAACGTGGGAGATAACAATCAGTAAACTGAGTATAATTTAGGAACCGCAAATCGTATAATAATCCATAGGTCAAAATGAAGTTTATAATAAAATGAATATAGATATGCACAATCTAATTGCCCAATGGTTAAACAATATATATATATATATATATATATATATATATATATATATATATATATATATAATAGTCCATTAATAAGTCCCGGAAGTTACCCGTATTTATTTCTTCATTAGGATATAACAGTGTTAGCCATGAAAAGTGGTTAGGAAATATTCATCATTAGTATAAGGTTCTATTTTAGTGTGAAAGTTTCCAAAGTAAAGGGACAAAAAAGGGATCCTCATATAGTTTCTGGAAGTATAACAACTAACCAGTCCCATATTAGCTGAGACGACAACAAGCGGACGGTTTGCTTGAATAATGTGGTAAAAAATTATATTTTGGTTTTAATTATCAGTTCTGTTTAACAAACTCATTGAAACAATGACTATTTGTCAAATAACTTCACCAGAAGGCTTTTACTGAATTCTAGGAAACTTTGGACAAAGTATCGGACTGTGTATGATAAGTTTTGTTAAGAAAAGGAATGTACTATATTCTTTAGTTTTTATAAATTTAATTTAGACTTACTTGCCCAAGAATGGAATGGCCAATTTCTTGATCCAAGTTTGTAGGATGATCGGCACAACTTGGTTTGTGATTTTCATGCATTAGTTGATACAACAAATTTCCTGTCACACGATGACATTCTTCCGCATCCACATCACTAGATTCACTGATATTACGCTGTCTTTTGGGGATAAAAATACTACGATTGGAAATTGAATAATTTGGTCCTGTAGGAAAGGCTTCATCCACTAATGAATGTGATTCTAAGGTCCGCATACCCAGGACATTAGGATGAGATATACGTACTGACAAATCAACTGAGGTAGAATCGCCACCAAAATTCATACAGTTTTGATCGAACCCAGAAGCGATTTCGTGAGATTTACTAACAGGTAAGTCGGAACAAGGTTGGATTAAATTAATTCGTCCAACATATCCTGAGTCACCAGATGCTGCACGGTTTCTAGAATCTGGTTGCTTGGGGACAACTGAACTGAAATTTTGTACTGGTTGTGGAAAAATCTGTCCCTGACCAGATATATTTAAATCAGGTGAAAGTTGGCGACTCAACAGCTGAAAAGGGGGATTCAGACATGATGTTTCACGTAGCTTCAGAGCGTCATAGCTGTCAAATGAAAGACCGTCGCCTACCGAATGGAAAGATGATACACAATCCGAACTTTGTCCTACGGATTTAGAATGATCACAAAGTGAGACACTAGCACAACGACGGCGAGTTTCAGAAAGTAACGACATGAGCATGCTCTCTGATGAACGAACAACTGTTGGACCATATAATTGAGATGGGGATTTACAGGACATCTGATTATTTAGACTGATTGTGCGTCGACGAAATTTCGATTTGCGAAACATCCCATATGTATTCAGGTCAATCTACAAATAAGATATTAGTGAAAAAAGGTTGCTTTTCAGACTTTATAATTTTCACAAGTTTTTATGCTAATTTTGATTTTATGTGAAGTACAGATGGTGATTTTATGGTCTTAAAGAATTAGTATATGTCTCATAATAAACCAGTATGAAGTGAATAAACATTAAGAAATGATAAAAAGACAATAATTTTTTCTAGTCTAATGTATTCCGCGACCAGGTTTTAGCAGGATATAGATTTGATTATATGTTCTAGACAGAATCAAAATGAAATACTCTGCCTAAGTCAATTTTAACTGATCAGCATTAGTGGGAAATTGCAGAAGACTCTAGAATCTTTCTGTGAAAAATCATGAATACACTGACATTCTACTGGATGACACTAGTTTAACTTGCAATTTTGTTTGGAATACAATTACGTTCTTATTCAGGCTGACGGAATGAAAGGTCAAAATTAGATGGATTTACTCATTATGATTTTTGTTCAACATTAATTCCGTTTTAATTCAATGTGATAGTATTTTTTTTGTTTTCCCGTATGACATTTTATTCTGTATAACATACGATATTCTTGTACTAAGTTAACATGAACTATACTCAGAATTTGTTATAACTAAGTATTTTTCATATGTGATTTTATTCTAATTATTAATCAAAAATGGATGTACAAATCAATATATGTGAGTGTATTTCCGACTAGACTTGTCGTGCTTCTGGCTGTTTGTGGAATATATTTCCCTCTTCCGAACTTGGACTTCTCTCTCTAGTTAGCGGGGCTGGGACGCGTCGGAATAACTAGCTTATTTGTCTTCGTTCCGTTCTCAGATTAGGTGAACTTGTAATTTCGTTAAACATAGCAATTTTGATTTGGAGGCCAGTCGAGTGATATAGTGTCTGAGGTATACTAAGCAATGGAGGGAGTAGGAGACTTAACAGACGGATAACCTTGTTATCAATTAACGGTTAATAACAACTCAATTAATGAGCTGAACTTTAGATAATTTAGTGCTCATTCAATAAGCTTTTATACTAACTTTTACATCAGATTATCTGGTCGAAGTGCTTACAGACTAGAAGATAATGTAGTTTAACTATCTACAACCATTTCGGAATACAGACAGTTATGTATAGAAAAATGAACCAGCTACATGTGAACTTTCCGTTTTCGACATCCACCAACGGAAATAATTTTCACCGTTACTCATCAATCAACATCTAAACAAGTGAAGGATAGCTAAAACGACTTAGTTATGTGAGTTCCAATTATAAATACAAAGCAGTTAGGCTACTTTTAACTTCATGAAAAAATATGATAAAACCAATCAAGAAAAAAGTGGATATTAATTACAGGGAATTTTATAATAATTGACAAAAAACAAAGTAATCTCACTTGATTGACTTCTTTTTCTGCGGGGTTAGGTGGATTTTGATCAGTTTGTTGACACTGCATTGGCTCATCTAATTCAGAGGGAGCCAAATCAAATTGAGCCAATCCTAGCCATTTACATAAAGGATTACATCTATGGCTATGGAAGAATAAAGCCATACCCCTCGTACCTAGATTGCCATCATTGTAGCCCACTCCATCTGATGTATGAATTTGAGGATCAGTGTACAAGTCTCCAACACCTTGGATATCTACTACTAACAATCGGTGACCAGAACGTTCAAATGTGAAGTGGCTAAAGGTCTAGGAAGAAATGAGCATTTCATAAGTAAGCAAGATGGTCATGTTCTTAAGAATACTGAGTAAATCGTTTTGTTTTTCCATATATATGTCTTTTGTATTTCTTTTTACAAATTTCTACTCAGACTCCCACAGAAATTTAGTAATGGTATTATGACTAAATACAAACTAGGCTAGATAGTCTAGAATCATGAATACTAATCAGATAAATCTATCGTAAAGGAACAGCATACAGGAGTCGAACTAAGATATATTCGAGATAACGACAGTCGTATTAACAATTAAATGAGTTTCCACATAAAGCGTGCTCAATACGAACTGTAATCCTTGACCGAAGAGTGAATGGATATGTTAAATTAAAGAGATATTTGTGTAACGGCTTAGATAATAAAGGTTTTTTGACTACCATTCATAAGCCATTTAATCGAATAGGCAAAACCATAACTAAGTTCAGTCAGTCAGCTACAACGTAGGACCAGGCACACATATGCATAGGTCCAAGTTGCCATACCTCGTTAGTACAACAAGATGAACACCGGATTCATAGAAATAGTTAGTTTAGTGGTGGTAGTATATAAAAGATAGGTTGTATATAAGGATATAGTACAGCAAGGAAAAACGTTATGAAGCAATTTTAATTTCAAGGTTTAAGGGAAGATAAAGAGTGCATACACCTACGCCATTGTGATCGATTCTGAGCCATGTCACACAGAGTCTCCAACCATTGGTTACGATAGTCACGCAGACCCCAACCACGTAGTCTGCATCTGCCAACATGGCTCAGACTAGAAGTCGGCATAGCGCGTCGTGGTAATCGGTGTTCAGACATACGTAACACGTGGCCCAACCATCTCAGTCGATGAAGATTCATCACCTCATCAACTGATTTACCATCATTTCCTAATATCCTGTGTCTAACCTCACTATTACTTACCCGGTGATCCTAGCAGATGCGAGCAATATTTCTAAGGCATCTATGGTCAAATACTAGTAGCCTACGAGTATCTTCTACTCTTAATGGCCATGTTTCGCAGCCGTAAAGTAGAACAGAGCGAACTGCTGCGCTGTATTCTCGTCCCTTAATTGATAGACGGATATCTCGTCTTCGCCATAGGTCACGTAAGTTGACAAAAGCCAACCAAGCCTTTTGAATCCGTGCTGAGATTTCGTCAGACACCAACCCATTAGGACTGATCAGACTTCCAACATAAGTGAAGTTGTCGACGCGTTCGACAACTTTACTCCCTATCCTTAGTTCAGGTGTTGACGCAGGCCAGTCCTGGAGTAACAATTTACATTTGGATGGGGAGAAACGCATCCCAAACATCCTGGCATTATAACTCAGTCCTAACAGAAGACTTTGCAGTTTGCCAGTGTCTTCACAAAACAGGACTATGTCATTTGCGTATTCTAAGTCGCTTAGTGGTTCCCCTGGTAGATCAATTCCTGTAAATTCAGTCGAAGAGATTGTTATTTCCAGCAATAGGTCTATAATGAATTTAAACAAAAATGGGGATAGTGGACAGCCTTGTAGGACACCACTTGAGGTTGTAAAATCATATGACAGTTCGCCATAAGTTCTCACTCGACTGGTAGTGTTCGAGTAAAGAGCCTTCACAAGGTTTATGTACTTCTCAGGTACACCTTTCAATGACAGACACTGCCACAGAACCTCTCGGTCTACAGAGTCAAATGCTGCTTTCAAGTCAAGAAAAACTATCATTGTCGGATGCCGATAAACATGTCTGTGTTCTAAAACCTGAGGAATAGTGAATATGTGGTCGATACAGCCACGACCAGGTCTGAAGCCAGCCTGATTTTCTCGTGTTTGCAGTTCACGAGTCTTAGTTAGGCGCCCGATAATTATTGAGGCTAGTATTTTAGATGCTATGTTAGTCAGACTAATCCCTCTATGGTTATCGCAGGATGATTTGGACCCCTTATATATTGGGACGATAAGTGATTGTGACCAGTAGGATGGGATTACGTCCAACTCCCAGATTTTAGTCAGGATATTAGTCAACCTAGTCGCTAAAATTGGGCCACCATATTTAAAAACCTCTGGAGCCAATCCATCTGCTCTTCCTCGTTTCAGATTAGTTATAGCCTTCTGAACTTCAGGTAGGGTCGGAGGACCTACTACAATGTTCCATTCATTCTGTCTGGGAATAGTGGGTAGTTGTGCAGTAGCTGAAGGCCAGCTGAACTGCTCCTTAAATTGTTCTGCCCATCGTTCTAAACGTCCGGGCTGAGAGCAGATAAGGGTTCCGTCTTTTTCCGAGATCGTTTCACTTACACTTGACTTATTAATTCCGGTTTCTTTTATTAGTCTGAATAGTTGCCTGGTGTTGCCTACAGCCGTTGCCTTTTCCATCTCTTTTGCTTTCGTTGCCCACCACTGCTCACGATCGTTCCTTAGACTTTTAGTCAACCTACATTTGATTTGTTTACGCTCTTCGTCGTGTTCAGAGCCTGATGGGATGAATTTACGCAAATCCAGCAGTGAAATAGACTTGGAAGAAATCCATTGGATTTTTGGAACCCTATGGTTTAAATGATTAATAGATGTTACTGCTGTTTCCACAGCTGTTCGTGTCTTTCCAAGCAGCATCTGGGTCAGTCTCGTTTACAGAACTGCCTAGATGTGAACTCCGTTGTTTTTGGAATTTACATTTGGATTTCTCGTCCTCTAGTTCAATCCTAATGAGTCTTCTTAGTGTACTTTTCCTGCGTCCATTGAGGCGCAGACAAATGCGCGCTCGTATTAAAGCGTGATCAGAGTCTAAACAAGTATTCCAATACGAGCGACAATCTTCTATTGAGCCTCTCCAACGATGACTGATGACAATATGGTCTATTTGAGTCCATCGTTGGTTTGGTGCAGGTGGTCGCCATGTTAGACGATGTCTCTCCTTATGCTTAAAATTAGTGCTTGCTAGAAATAAACGATTGTCTGAGCATAGTTGCAACAGACGATCACCATTATCGGTTCGTTGAACCGGAATACTAAAACACCCACCTAAATGTCTTTCTGTTTGATTTAAGCTGCCTACCTGGGCATTAAAGTCACCCGCTACGACTACTATGTCTGACCGCATAGCATTCTGAAGAAGTTCAAAGAGCTTTCTGTAGAAGTCATCTCTCACTTCATCATGGCTACAGTCAGTGGAAGCATAGGCAGAAACGACGACAAGGCAATGACGTGTATCCCTATACTTCCGAGTTCTTACGGAACCATTTAGCCGGACAACACACAGGCGACTGTTAAAGAGGATCCATTCTAGTAGTGCTTGTTCTGCCCTTGTACTAAGTGCTATGCCTACACCTGCAAGTCCACGAGAACTAGTCATGGGGTCGCCAGATACACGGAGGGTGTATTTCGTTGGCTGTCCATTTTGGCGAGGTGAGGTCAAGTGAATGACCACACTGGGATCCTGTATGCGTGTTTTGGAGACAGCATACATCGATGGTAAGAGATTCTAGAGTCTTAGCCAAGGAGGCCTGTTGACCGATTTTACTTAGGGTACGTGCGTTGAAGGCTCCAATGTGTAGTTTGGAGCGAGGTTTTAGTAGACCTGGGACAGTGTTTTGCGCACTAGAATCGTTGACCGTGGTGACACTTGAGGAGGAAGCCGAAAGAGGAAGTTTAGTGTTGAAAGTTGAGGTAGAAGTAATAATGGGAAGTGAAGAAGGTGATTGATTATGAATACAGTGGTCTTGAGTGCTGTTAGAGGTACGAGGGCAGTTATCACTCCCCGGTTGCCCACACCGTGGAAGGGTTCTTCTAGAGGTACCTGAAAAGGAAATTGGGTTAGAAGTGGTCTTAATGACCTGAGAGCGTGACCGCAGTGCCCAAGGGACAACTGCTTGAGGTCGGTCACACACGACCTTTTTGTGGGTAGTTTTTGCGTCAGCTCCGTTCTTTTAAAGGACCTTACCGCCGGAGACGGAAGTCCGTGGGATAAGGAGAGGTGTGCATTTTTAGGGTCGACTTTTCCTAACCCCACCCCTCCTTGTGGGAAGACAGCATCGCTGTCATGCTGGTTGTCTGAAGGAAACACCTTACTGCTGTCACACCTCTGTACAGTCAGCAGTACGACTTCACCTTCGGACCTCGGGTTTGCTGCTTTTAGTCTCACCGCTCTTCAACCGACCTGTCTGGCATGGTAGGACCTTGAGGAACGATTGTTCCAGCCAGCATAGCTCGATTGGATCATCACGATAGGCAAGCCCTACCACCACGTCAAGGTAGCAGCAACGGTCGGGCATAAGTAAGTTACCAATGATGCGTTTACTTAGCTGACCATGTGATCGATGTTACAACCGGACCAGATGATGTTAGCTACAGTACGTAGAATAAAATTAAAGCAGATAATAAAAACGAAAAAGACATTTGATTACTGGTCGAGATGGACGAACATGAAATCACCAGGGTGAATAACTAAAGAAGCATCTCACGTAGGCGTTCTAGCCGTGTTGAGATCGGCCAAGTCTTGTTCGGTGGAGCCTATTGGCTTTCCTGGAAATGGTTTTCGTCTCACAAGGCTGACCAATCCACTGCGTTGTGGTTGAGTGTAGAAACTGATACCCCCAGGTCTTGGAGCGCCGGCGTCGCCCCAGGGGCAAGTATAATATACATGCATACGGATAACATAAGTTTTCAACCATGCATCCCTTGGTATACACACAGGTATATTTACCCTATGAGCAAATATACGTTACATGCACACCAGTAACAAAAGCTTCCACTCATGCGTCCCATAGCATATTTATAGGTATATACACCTACCTGGGAGGGTAGACGGTTATCGATCCCTTGGAACGCATTTGCTACAACTGACTGTCACTTTTGTAGTAGGTGCAAAGACTCGCCTAGTATTCGCTACAAAGTTTTGTCTTTAACCTGAAGAATACGGCCGCTGACTTTACTAGACATAAGGGAAAACGTTGCTTCAGCTTACGTTCTCTGCGCTAACTCGTGTCCGTTTGACACATACTTACGTAAATAAACTACAAAAGCTGAGACTCATGCAATTTAGATACGTACCCATACACATTAGACAACCCGCAAGATTTTAGTGAACCCCGAAATCGGAATCCAGTTAGTCCGGTTCATATCAGAATGGTGGATATGTCCGGTCTCGCCGACGGCTCGAATTGGCTAACAAGGTTGTCCTAACTAACGAGCAGCGCCGTGGGGAATGAGTCGGACCTTGCTATGGCCACAGTACTTGGAAGAACAACTTCAAGCAAATATGCCCTATAAAATAAAAACATAAGCATGTATGCTGTATCGCTACAAAGCTGTCAACTTTGTGGTTATTCGCCTCTACAGTAGTGTACACTGGGAAAGCAATATGGTGTTTTAGGTTTTGTAGTAACACAATGCATTCACAATTGGGTAGTTACAAATAGACCAATTACTTAAGCGATATTTGTAAAAACAAATTATCAAGCCCTCAAAGTTTATGAACTTAAATAGTTTTTCGAAAATTGTGCGGATTAAAACTACAGACTTAAGAAATGTCAATTAATCGACCAAACCATTGGTAACACATAGGCTATGGGACTAGGAAGCCTTAGGTTTAATCGTATAAATAATAGACAATGAACACTGGATAGAAGGTTCTACAATAATCTCTGTTTTAGTGATTCTTAGTAATATGATGACTGCTTTAAATAAATAAAGCGATTTGCCTAGCACACATACCTGTGGGGTATTACGTAAACACTCATCAACGAAGCCAGAATTTGAGTTGTATTTACGATATTCTCCTTCCATAAAGCGTTCAATATGAAAAAATGCTGGTGAAAAATCTACTTTTTCAGTGCCAACAGAACTGTCAGGAGACAATTCGAGAACAGACAGCTGGAAGATATCCACCTTTAAAACAAGATGAAATATAAATTTACTGATAGTAACAATTATATCAACGTAAAACTCAGTATAGGTTTGGCGATCCATGTAGTTCGTTTCGCGCAGGAAGAAATAAAAAATATGGTAGAACTTACTATAGTGTCATAGACTTAGACTAGAGTTCGTCGAATTCCAGTAATCCTTTGAAAACAAATACGATAGAGTACGAACGTTATTTCCCATTCTTAATAGATATGTCGCATAACCGAAAAGAAGCTCAGAAGGAACTACTGAGCAATATATTTCTCTATTAGATGACTTACTGTAAAGCACTAAAGGTAGTTCAAATTAGCACCACTAGACAACCTACTGACATCTAGTTAGAATATCGCGGATGGTGCAAATCTCACATAGGTGGCTTTCATACGCATATAACGAATAAAAAACCCCTCATAAGATATGATAAAATGAGATTTTTTGAAAAGAGCTACACGAAGAGAACGTTAGAGACCATGCTTTGAACGAAGTCAATAATTATTATTTTAATAAGCAGAAAACAAACGATCAGGCTGCAAACTAGTCAAATACAAATATTAAATGTGTTCACGGATAATCTGAAAGCCTAAAAAGGAAATGAAAAACTCACCTTTTTGGGAGGATTATGACGATTGAAAGCTTCACCCCATAACTTTGCTTCCATCTGTAGACGTACATCGTCAAAATAAATCTGCTTGTCTGTAGGGGCTATGTATCGCTTGGCCACATAATTTGAAGTATGGTGCCAGTCATTGGTATCCGTTGCTCTCTGACTCTGTTTTTTCCTACAGAAGTTATTGGGAAAGCAGTCAGTTTTGTTGGTGATATAGAAGAACGCGTTTTGTTAGACTATGTTCAGTAGTACGAGTAAAAATAGGTGAAAGTACGAAACGAGTAGACATAAGAGTGAAAACGCCAAATATGTACGTACATTCTAAAGCATTCCCGCATTGCTCCACGATCAAACGGTTCCGATTCCATTTTGATTCGCACCTCATCCACAACCCATTTCTTCTTGATTGCACTGTACCGGTGTCTGAGGGCACATCGAACAGGACATCTATCCCATGGTAGATTGCTCCATGAGTCTAGGTCTATTGATTTGACCTTCTTGAATGCTCTTTGCCATAGAATAACTAAAAAAATTGAAGGAAGGCTGTGCGATCACAATACAAACGCTGAATCAGTCGTTAAAAAAATATAATTAGCAAACATGATTTTTCAAAGCACGAGGTATTTTTCAAATACATTAAGACTGTGATTTCAGGTATTTAGGAATCAGACGGATACATATGCCGAAAAAACAGCTCGCAAAAAGAGGTGCACTTTTATGTGAGTTATATGGAATTTATGAAAGTTGTGAAAATTTTCGTGAAGTTAAACACTTGTTGATAAAAGTTTTGCTGGTGATCAGGTCATCAAAACAAGGGCAAAATATTATGGAATATAAATCGTAGTAATAGCGACTCAAGTAAAAAAGGAAAAGATACATACCGGCATTTTGTTGTTCACTCATAGAAGCGTCCGACTGCAGTGTTACTTCAGAGATGTTTAAATTATCATCAGTAACCTCATCAATATAAGATCCCATTTCGTTAGATAACTGCACCAATATTCGCTTGGGTAACTGGAACTGAACATCCGACAGGACTACTTAGCCTTAGATACGGTCCAAATACTAGAAACCTTGGAAACAATAGCAATTAGAAAAGTCGTAGCGATAAATGAGATCAATGATAATATACACATATGTTAGTCCTAAAAGGTTAATATGAGTTGGAAGTGTCGAGTTGCAAACTGTCTACATTTGCTAGCAAACTGAAGGGGAGACTGTACTATCACAGTACTACATATCACGAGGATCAACAAGGATCACCTATTATCATAGATGATGACCAGCCCCGAGCGTTTAACTGTTTATTGACTTTTACAACCTTCAAACCACCATGGTCAGTAAAAGTGTGATGCTGAACAGTATATATGAGGTGAGAAAGATGCGAATAAACATGCACTATGTCATCTTTGATTCCATATGGTTGCTTTAAGCTTCACACATTTGACTAAAAATTTATTAAAATCCGTACAACTATTTACTGTATTTCATAATATAACCCCTATCAATGAGTACTTGATATTCAGTATAATATTAAATAATCATCATAAATTGAGCTAGAGCACTGGTACGTTTTCAGAGGCAAAATTTATGCACTGACTAATCACGAGAATACAACAGCAAGTCCAATTGCGACCTGAGCAAATGTCACTCAGTGAAACGTTCAAACAACTAAGATTACTCCAGCCCTAAGTACTCATTTCGGTCTTCCTTTATATTAAATAAAACTATTTGAGTACACCAGAATGTGGTAACTGCTTTTCAGTCATCTTTTTAGATAATCACGACATCAAGCATAAAGTATTATACGCGCGTGTTTCAAAAAGGGAAGACTTTGACTGTTTTTGCTTTTTTGTTGCATCAAAAAGCGTTCTTGGTCTACTTTAACTCGAAGTATTTCGGTTTAGGTTTGAAGTTTTGCTAAGCTTTGTCTCGTTGTACCTTCTTTCTCATCGACTCGTATTGTTCGTATTGTGTTTCAATCCTTAATCTGAATACAATAGTTGGCAGTACTTGTAGATGTAGACAGTCGAATTGCTTGTTCTTCGTGGGGGAAGGAATGCAATACGATAAGTTTAAAAAGTGGTTCCATAAGATATGTGTCTGTTTATTTCCCACCACTAACAAAAGATGCTCAAATCCTAACTCACATTGGTTTTGTATTGATGATGCAACGGATATTCTAGTTTTACAACTAGATACCAGTAGCACCTTCTAAATTCGATTGTTCCCAGTCAGTTAGAAATCAGAAGTCAGACGAGAAGAGGCAGGAAAGATATATTTGATTCGTTACCAATATATCGAGGACCTTTTCTATGAGCTGGCTAATGAAACGTAGGAGCTGTGTCCCACGCCGAGTCGAAACGTGATCTGGTACGGATGCATGACCGAAAGCCTTCAGCTAAACAAGTCCACTTAAACACGTGGTCAGCATCCAATGTCGAACACTTAATGAACTATTGATTTTGGGGAATTATTTACAGCTACAGATCACTCCCCCCCTAGTGAGGTAGTGATGCCCCTAAGACGTGACCAGCCAGAAGTTTAAACCCAACGAGTTTGTCGCTGGTAAGCACTCTTCTGATAGCTTGCTTCGTTTAGCAGCATCTGGTCGTCTTTCCTTAAACTATGGGACCAAAATGTACAACATAGCAATAAAGAAATATAGTACAATGAAAATTTCTGTTCCTTGCGAAACTTCGTCGTTCTTTTCCAGCCGTCCTGGAAAAGAGAAAAAATAAAACGTGTGAGTGCATGTCGAAAATACACTCGTACTTGCGTAAGGACACAAGATGAGCGGAAAAAATAAACTGATACACTAACAAACAGCGTAAAAGCGATTGGAAAAAAAATGGTTTGTTTTTGGGTTTTTTTATATATAAAAAGTATATATATATACGCTCAAAAAATAATAAAAATGTTTTGTTTTTTTTTTGGTTTTTTATAGAAATAAAAAATTATCATATTAAAAATTTTTTCTTATAATGAACTATGGAAGGGTAATTCAAGATAAAGCTTATGTCCTACGTGCAATATTCGTTAAGATGTTCTGGAAATCTGACTCGTCTTCCAGAACGCGTTGTTTTAGGTTTTTCTATCGACGCTGACGAAGTATCAAGTTGTGTGTCGGTTGTTGTGTGGGGTACTACGAGTGTAGTGGCTGTGTCGTTTGCTTGTACCGAAGGAAAATCGACGTAGCTAGGGTTTCCTTCTAGGTACGCAGCTTTGAGTCGATCGATACTGATGCTATCTTTCGTACCGTTCTTATCAACTACATAGTACTTAGGTTCGCGTTGAAGAACTTTGAAGGGTCCTTCGTATGCTGATTCGAGGGGTCGTCGATGTGAGTCTCGACGAACGAAGACGTGTGTACTATGTCGTAATTCGGGTTGAACGAAAACATCAGTTGATTGAGGTCGAGTGTGAGCAGGTTTAACTGAACGCATAGCGTTTGTAAGCCTACTGGTGTAAGAGTTTAGATCCATGTTCAATGAAGAAGCTGAAGGATCCACGAATTCTCCTGGGAGTCGGAGTGTCGTTGCGTAAACGAGTTGAGATGCCGTGTATCCAATGTCAGCTTTCACTGCATTGCGGATACCTAGCAAGACGAGTGGAAGAGCGTCTGTCCACTGTGAAACGTTTGAAGCTGATAATGAAGCTTTTAATTGTCGATGAAAACGTTCTACCAACCCGTTTGCTTGTGGGTGGTAGGCGGTCGTTCGGAAGCGCGTGATTCCTAAAAGTGTGGTCAGATAACGGAAAAGTCCAGATTCGAACTGGCGTCCGCGGTCTGTAGTGATGGTTGAAGGGCAGCCGAAATTTGCTACCCATCGTTCGACGAAAGTGCGAGCCACTGTTTCAGCAGTAATGTCCTTAATCGGTACTGCTTCTGGCCATCGAGTAAAACGGTCTACGCATGTTAGGAGATATGAGTATCCGTTCGAGTCGGGTAAGGGTCCTACCAAATCTAAATGGACGTGGTCAAAACGAGCGTCAGAGGTTTCGAAAGAGCCTAAGGGACATTTGTTGTGTCTGATTACCTTAGATTTCTGACAGCTTACACAGGAGCGTGCCCACTCCCTGACGTCTTTATTCATGCCAGGCCAACAAAAGCGTTCGGCTATAAGTTCGATTGTTGCACGAGCACCTGGATGAGAAAGATTGTGCAACGTATTGAAGACGTTGCGGCGATAGTGTTTTGGTACAATTGGACGATCCCTACCTGTAGATGTGTCACAGAGTAAGGTTTCCTTACCTGTTCCCATCTGCCTAATACTTAGTTTAAGAGTTGTCGAGGTTAACTCATGCTGAAGATCAATGTCTTCTTTTTGAAGCTGAGCGAGTTTAAGAAGGTCGATTCCTTGGAAACTGTTCAAGGAGCTAATTCGAGACAAGGCGTCTGCGACTACATTGTTTGCTCCAGAAATATGTTGTATGTCTGAAGTAAACTGCGAAATGTAGTCGAGTTGTCGAGACTCTCTTGGTGAGTACTTGTCTGAAGATGAATTTAAAGAGAAGGTAAGAGGTTTGTGATCGGTAAAAAGCGTGAATTCTCTTCCTTCGATGGAATGTTGAAAATGCCGTACAGCACAATACATAGCTAGGAGTTCCCTACCGAACGTGCTGTACCTAGATTCCGCGTCTAGCAACCGTCTGGAGAAAAATCCTAAAGGTTGCCACGAGTTGTTAACCCATTGTTGTAAGACTGCTCCGATTGCTGAGTCGGATGCGTCTACGGCGATACTAAGGGGCGCTTGAGTGTCCTGATGAGCAAGGAAGGTTGCTTTAGCGATGTGTTCCTTAACTGTGGAGAATGCTTTACGGGCTATGTCATCAAAACTAATTGATTTCGCATTTCCACGAAGCTGATCGGTTAACGGTTTCATTAGGGATGCGCATTTAGGTATGAACCGTCTATAGAAACTTACGAGTCCGTTAAAAGTTCGTAAGTGCTTGATCGTGGTCGGTTCTGGGTAATCCAGAATGGCCGCCACTTTGCTCCTAAGTGGTCGGATGCCTTGGGCATCAATAGTGTGTCCTAAGAAGTCTAAGCATTTAGTCCCGATTTGGCATTTCTGAATGTTGACAGTAATGCCATGCCGTTGGAGTCGATCGAAAACAATATCCAGATGCTTGAGATGTGATTCTCTGTCCGGACTTGCTATTAGACAGTCATCAACATACGCATGTACGAAGTTGAGACGTCGGAAGACGTCGTCTATAAACCTTTGGAAGGTTTGAGCCGCGTTTCTTAAACCAAAAGTCATTCGTAGAAATTCGTAAAGACCGAAAGGAGTGATGATGGCGGTTTTAGGAATATCGTCAGTTGCCATCGGTATTTGGTTATAAGCTTTAACCAAGTCGATTTTTGAAAAGACAGTTGTACCTTTCAAGGTAGCTGTCAAATCGTGAATATGAGGCAGCGGGTAACGATCGGGAATGGTTTTAGCATTCAGACGCCGATAATCACCAGTTGGCCGCCAATCATTGCTGTCCTTTTTAGGGACCATGTGCAATGGGGATGGCCATGGACTATTCGATGGTCGAATTATCCCTAGGTCCATCATGTGGTTGAATTCGTTTTTAGCTAACCTAAGTTTTTCGGGAGCGAGTCTTCGGGCTTTCGAAAATACAGGTGGTCCTGTAGTCGTGATGTGATGTGTAACATTGCTGGTTACACAAGGCAATTTCGATTGCGATTGGTATATCCCGGGGTATTTGTCGAGTACTGATTGGTACAAGGGGTCTATGGTGTGCTTAATCGTGACTGGGGATAACCTGCAACCAGAACAAGGAGTTACGCTAACAGATAACTTAGTGTTTCCGTCTATTAACTTTCGTGAGCGTGTGTCGATGATAGATTGTGGTGTTGTAACAGGTCTATACCAATGATTGGCATAGAGACATCTGCAACCACGAAAATCCAGTGTATGGGTTTGCGTAAACCCACGTTAAGGTAGACGCACCTTTTACCGTAAGTAGCGATCGGCTTTCCGTTTGCCGCCTGTAAACTTAAAACAGACTCGCGAAGTCTGTCGTCGGGATTTGCTGGAAGAACGCTAACTTCTGCGCCAGTGTCGACGAGGTAGCGAACTTTCGTAGTCACATCCGTGACATATAAGAGGCGGCTGTGTTCGCCGGCTACGGTTGCCGTTAATGCGTGCCGGCTGGGAAGTTTCCCGAAATCTTATTCGTGTCAGTCTATTTTGAAGTCGGATAATTGCAAGGTTTCCTGCAATTTCTGGAAAACTTACCGTACTGGTTATGATACCAGCACCAGTCGGGATTGTCTGTCTCTCGTGGTCGAGAGCCAGATCGCTTACTTGAGACGCTTCTACGCGGGGTTTTTGACCGACTACGGTCATTGCGAACTCTAAGATATCGTGTAAGCGTGTGACATAGTTCGGCCATGTCAGTCGAGGTCGATTGGGGTTTTTCTTTGACGGAAAAAACCTCGGCCTTAGAAGATCTAGTGATTTCCAAGATTCGATCGGCAGATGCAGCTAGTTCATCTATGGCATTGTTTTGAAATGAAACAAGCACTGCCTGCACCTGATGAGGGAGTTTAGACAAGAAAAGTTGTCTAAATAGGCCATCATCGAAAGTTCGTTGGCCGATGACTTCTCTCATTCTAAGCAACATGTCCGTCGCAGAACCATGTTGCAAATCGATATTGTTAAGGAGTTGGTCTAACCGTTGTCGATCAGTTAGGTCTCCTCGTTTTAAAATCGATAGCTTAAGCGATTCGTAAGGTTCGGAAACATCACTAGTGAACATACTAGGTGTTACGTACCTGTTAAACTCGCGCGGTAACGCATTAACTACCGCGAGGAAACGTGTGCGCGAGTCCGTGATTCCGTGCATGCTAAAATCGGCTTCTGCATAGCAGAACCAGGACTCGATATTGTCGGGCCAAAATGGCGTTAACTGAATCGAAATAGGGGGAATAGACTTGAACTTAAGAACCTTAGGAGAGTGTTCCGTCATAGTAATATAGATATCGAAAAATGTCTAAGTAAAATATATCCGAGAAAAAAACTGCGAAAAAAAGTATATCACAATATATAAAATTCAAATAAAGAATAAGATATGTGTCTGTTTATTTCCCACCACAAACAAAAGATGCTCAAATCCTAACTCACATTGGTTTTGTATTGATGATGCAACGGATATTCTAGTTTTACAACTAGATACCAGTAGCACCTTCTAAATTCGATTGTTCCCAGTCAGTTAGAAATCAGAAGTCAGACGAGAAGAGGCAGGAAAGATATATTTGATTCGTTACCAATATATCGAGGACCTTTTCTATGAGCTGGCTAATGAAACGTAGGAGCTGTGTCCCACGCCGAGTCGAAACGTGATCTGGTACGGATGCATGACCGAAAGCCTTCAGCTAAACAAGTCCACTTAAACACGTGGTCAGCATCCAATGTCGAACACTTAATGAACTATTGATTTTGGGGAATTATTTACAGCTACAGTATGTTATGCTGTTAGAATAAGATGTTACTGATCCAGACGGCTTTGAGCCTCTTAGCTTTGGCCTCTCAGAAGGAAGATGGTGATTGCACTGGTAACATGAGTACTGACAGTGAAGAATTTGTCAGTGTTTTAGGCGCATATACAGGACGAGTTAAACAGCGATTGTGATCGACGGAAAAATGAAATATTCGTTGAAATTAACGAGGAGCGAAGCGTCACTTAATATTGACATGATTAGTCATGCTTTTTTTAGTAGAAATTGTAGACCCGGATTAAACCGTCATCGTTCGAAATAGTCTTTGTGTGGCTGTCCTGATTGATGAAAAAATGGTCATCGGTAAGGAGAAAAAGAAGATGAAAGTAAAAAGCTATGAGTGGTACACACTTGGTTGACCAGTCATTGGTGGATTTCTATTCTGGTTCGCAAAAAATACTACCTAAGTCTTTCAGTAAGACAGAGCTCCACTCTGGCGTGGTTGAGAACAATTTAATTCCATCAAATGCGATTGTGAGTGATTTGCTAGCATCAAATCGTAGAATTTATTTGTATCATTTTACCAGATAGCTCTATAGGAGTTATGGTAAAAACTGATAAGAATAGACAAGGCTGCCGATGATATTGTTGAACCACGACCGTATAGACTCCGTAAGGTAATCCTGGGGTCGGGGAAGTAACGTGATATTTTGTTACCTAGCTCTCGGAGTCACGACAATACGGACTTTCGAGTAGGATCTAATATGTCTCTAGAAGATAGAATAAGAAGGAAGTCGGTCCTAGCCGAACTAGAAACCTGTCAAAAGAAATTGAGAGAGAAAACTCCACTTAGTGTGTTTTCGAATAGCCATGTCATGTAAGACAGGAGGTGGCGTTTTTCTATACGTAGCCAATAATATAAATATCCGCTCCTTCGCTTTAGAATCATATGATAATGGAATTGAAGAAGTCGTTAGCTGTGAGTTGACCATCTGATGTTGTACATTTATACTCGATGTCATCTATCGCGGCACAATATCCTTAGCTGATGACCTTATTTTAGAAAACACTCATCTATGGAGTGCAAATAACAGATGCTCAATATTAAGATTTTTTGCACCTGACATTGGTTGAACTGAGATAACCAGGGTAGGATCTCTAAACACCTTTGGTAGCAGGTTACGGATAACGGTACTGAAGCATGCATTAGTACAGCATGTATCCCGACCCACACGTTTTGGTGTAAACCAAGGTTCTTCTTGTTAGACTAGCTAATCTTTCACGCGACCGAGGATATTACCAACCTTAATATTCTTCCACCGTTAGCGAATAGCGATCACACTATTTTTTGATTCACGTTTAGAACCAGTGACATGATAAACGATCACGTTAAGCCCCGCCCAAATTTACAGAGAGCTAACATATCAGCCATTCAGGAGTGTACCGCTAAGACAGATTGGTCAGTAGATACTAGCTCATCAGTTAAAGAAGCATGTTCTATATTTAAAGGCAAGTTTGTTTCAGTTACATTCTCATTCATACCATGACAGGTACCACGTAGACAATAAATAACTATATAAGTCAAGAAACTCCTTAGACGCAGGAAAAGTCATTGTAATAGGTTCATCTCTACCAATATGGAACAGTACAGATCCAGCTGTTGTAATATTAGGAATGCTTATAAAGTGTCAATAAGTAAGGCTAAAAAGGCATACTTTATACAATTGGTTGGAGATTGTAAAAATAGTCCGAAACGGTTATTTTCCTATATAAGGAAACGAACTCAGAGAAGTGATGGAATTCCATCACCTTTGGTAAGAAAAAATCCGTTAATATTGGCAAGAGATGATACCGAAAAAGCTGAAGCCTTGTCAATTGCAAATATGCTGCTCTTACTTTGTCGATTCGCAACTTCACATCGACATCAGATCCACCGTGCTCATAAGGTTGGCATTGGTAGATGTGGAGACATTCATTCAATCGGATGGCATGGTTCAGCTTTGCATACGTGCTCATTATATGTAACATATTACTATTTACACTAAATATATTGTTCTATTCCCGGCACAAAGGTGTTTTCCAGAGGCACTAAGTATCACTGTTAGTTGTCACGATACGATGAGTCAAACTGAACAGTGATGCGACTTCCACGTTAGATATCACAGATTAAGCAATTCACCGCTTTCAGGTTAGGTCTGTTATCAAAGTAGTATTGATGCTGAATTACATTATAATTTTACATACTAACAAGAGTGAAGGTGCAAAAACCTGAGTAAAGTTACTTACGTACTTCACTTACTTACGCCTGTTACTTTCAATGGAGCATAGGCCGCCGACCAGCGTTCCCCAATCCACTCTGTCCTGGGCCTTCTTTTCTAGTTCTATCCAACTTTTGTTCATTCTTCATATGTCTGTCTCCATTTCTCTGCGTAAGGTGTTCTTTAAACTTCCTCTTCTCCATTGACCCTCAGGATTCTATGTGAGGGCTTGTCTTGTGACACAATTGGGTGATTTCCTCAAAGTGTGTCCTGTCCACTTCCAGCGCTTCTTCCTGATTTCTTAATCCGCTGGAATTTGGTTTGTTCTCTCCCACAGTAACTTGTTGCTGATAGTGACTGTCCAATCGATCCGAAGTATCTTGCGTAGACAACTTTTAATAAACACCTGTTATATTGTGGCGGTCTTCCTGAATAACTGGGCTACCTGTCCCTGACGTCTAGATATTCCAACAAGTTTTTTTGTTCGTTTTAAAACATAATTATGTCTATTAATAGCATAACATATGCAGTTGTGTTTATGAAACATTTACGACTTTTCGCTGTACAAGTTACAAAAAAGTACAATCAGAGACACCGTGGTGGTTGGCAATATCCATTGAAACGAATGAATATTATTCAGATGTCGATTCCTGAACTGCTAACATTTAACTGGTGATCAATCAATATTTAACGTCAGGATCGATCAAATCTGAAAAGGAAACTTGTTGAAATACATTGTGCTGAGAATTCTATGTTGTATCAAAAATATAATATTGAATAAAGCCATTATTAATAACAATTAATAATAAAAATAATAATCTTAGGGATGATGGCTTTCGTAGTTCTCCACATCTCCCCCCATACAGTAGAACTGTCCTGACATTTGTATTGAAAATTCTGATCTTGGTGTTGTTTGACAGTTGTTTTGAATTCCAGATGTTCATCAGATGTAGATATGCTGCTCTCGCTTTGCCGATCCTCGCTCTCACATCTGCATCAGATCAACCATGTTCATCAATGATGCTGCCCAGTTATGTAAAGGTTTTACATCCTCCAAAGCTTCTCCGTCAAGTGTAATTTGATTGGTGCAGGCTGTGTTTTATCGGAGCATCTTGCTTTTTCCTCTGTTTATATTGAGACCTACTGCTGCTGAGGCTGCTGCTACACTGGTCGTCTACTGCATTTGTTGTTGCGTGTGTGATAGAAGAGTCAGATCATCTGCGAAGTCTAAATCGTACAGCTGCATCCTAGCTATCCATTGTATCCCGTGCTTCCCTCCAGATGTTGACGTCTTCATGATCCAGTCGATGACCAGGAGAAAGAGAAAGGGTGAGAGTAAGCAACCTTCCCTGATAACAGTCTTTGCCTCTAATGAGTCGGTGAGTTGTCCTCTATGGACGATTTGTCAGTTTAATCCATCATAGGAATTCCATATGATATTGAAAATCTTCTCACGTACACCGTGGTATGGAAGAAGCCTCCATAGTGTTGTCCTGTCTACGCTATCAAATGCTTTCTCATAGTCAATGAAGTTGATGTAGAGTGATGAATTCCATTCAATTGATCAAGGAAGTTGATCCGAAATCAGCAACATTCATTTGTCTTTGATTATTTTACCATGTTTCTCTTCAGAGATGCTTGAATAAGTAATATATAAATATTTACTTAACTATAAGCATGTGCTCATCATCAGAAAATATTGTCGGGACTTGGTTGTTTAAATGTTTAGATAGAAAATAATGAAGTTCATTTTTTTATTGGCACAATTTCGGGTTTTGCGTAAATGTCGTCTCTAGAAGACGTTTGACCCCGCGTCGTCAAGGTTAGTTAGTTCATCTGGACATCGATTTACTTGACACTACTACTGAGCTCACTCGGTATGTTATCCACAACGTTTTTGATAATTTTATACTTGAAATGTTTTTTTATGATATTTGTGTTAATGTTTAAGCTAAATGTATCTACTTGCTTGTTGCGAATGTTACTTCATAGGTTAGGTATTCCGTGTTTTATTTTTATTTGTGTACAACAAAAATAATAAAGGGGTTGTAATTTGTTTGAAGATGATGGAAGCATGTTAATTTAAACCAAAATACTTAAGTATTTATCATACAGTTGAAATGGTCGTTCCTTTGCTCTAAGTCAAGATATTTTTGTATTTCAGTGCTTGTGTTAGAGTTCCCTAGATTCTTTGTATATTTAGCACATGTTATCTGTGGTTCTGTGCCTCTTTTTGTCTGATCACATATAGTACCTTCGTTATAATAATCGTCAAAGTAAATAAAATGCAGCTATCTTACTTCTTGGTTTTGTTTTGTACAGTTTTCTTGGGCGTTGCGGATGAACGTGCTAGGAGGGTATCTGAAGTCACCATTTACTCTAAAAAGCAATGTTGTATCAGTTTAAACAGGAACAGAAACACCAGATTTTGCTCCACTTCAAAGTTTGATATGAAATAAAGTAGGGAGCCTTATATCGTACATTGAGACACATCGGCCCTCATAGATTTTTATTGATTCGGTGCTCTACTTAGTCCTGTCGCATATTTCAGTTTATAGATCAGAGGGGGTTTTGTGGAGAATTTAGTATTTTCACAGTTGAAATCATGAGTCGATTGAAGCTAGACCACCATCAAAAACCTGGAAGCACTGGACGGCCGTTTCGTCCTGTTATGGGACTCCTCAGCAGTGCGCATCCACGATCACGCACCCGCGAGATTCAAACCCAGGACCTACCAGCAGAGATATCATCTCACTGAAGACAATTGGTGAACGGTCGCTCAAAATCGTGGATTGGTTGAAGTTAGACATTAACACCATTGGATGCCGGCTCAGTGGTATTTCAGTTTAATCAAAACCTCCCTATATTTCCGAATGTTTCCTTAATTTATTCATCGTGTGAATTCCATGTAAGACACCTTATAGTGTTTGGTTAATTGAATAATGTATCAAAAGACCGCTTATCATTCGAGTCGTAACCTATTATAGGCCCAAACTGAAGTTTTCCAAACGTAGTTGAAATGTAGCGTCAATTAAAGATTTTTATACCGGTAGATTTTGTGTTAGTATTACGTGCTGAGTCTACTCATGACCACTTTTGTAAAATGTTGACCTTTTTTCTAGTTGAACTATTAAACTGTTAATTGGGTACAGCCTATTAGTTTTTAGTTTTAAAAGTGACTCGAATTTTTTGAGCACTCAGAATGAACAGGATCATTTGTATTAACACTAAGAGTAGCTAACCTGCAATGTCTTCAAGGGTGATAGTAATATAGGATGTAATTCATATGAAACTCAGGCTCAGTAAACAGGGTGTCATTGATTTAGTTATGTTTGAAGGTAATTTAACTCACAGTAATGATCCATTAAGCTTTTAACATCGACTCAGCAAAGTTCAGAAGGTGCCCGAAATTCAAATCTTCAGTATCCGGGGTACACGTTTATCTCATCCCGTGCATTTTTCATATTTAAAAACAAGAATTTAGACAGATGTGACAAATATGCACTAGTTGCTTTGAATAAGCTGTATGTGATCTTACTATGAACGTCCTACAGACACAGCTAGCTTCATTGTACTCGGTCTTGGGTGCGTCTTACATGGTTTCTATGAGTATATCTCAGGGGTGTTTTTAAGAGTTAATAATCTTCGTATCTGCCCATTAATCCATTTACGTGGATGTGATAACCCACATAAAATGGGTCATTTGATAAGAAAAATCCTTTCCTATTTTGGTTTAATTTTGGAATTTCAGACACTTGTTTATTTGAAGCCTTTGTACTGATAAATATGTTTTTTGAATGTAAACAAAATGTGATATTCAAAATATATGTTTCATGTATAGTCAAGAGTGAGGAAGCTATGTTATATGCTGCACTTATCCTAAGTACAGTAAATTACAATCAGTTTTCAATACTGAAGGCAGTATCAAAATCTTGATGAAGCTTAACGAAAAGGTTCAGATATGATAACTTGTACTCCGCTTTAAAGACTGTTGCCTTTCCAACATTGTAGATTAAGGTAGTTTGTCGTCAAAACATCTACTTACGTTATAGTAATCAGTCGCCATAAAAGATGTTTCTTTTGGTAACTTTGTTGTGGTAAGTAAAAATGACCAATGTTTGCTTCTGCTTATTACACAGAAACGAAACTATGTGGTTATTTCATATAAACACATGAACAAATGACATTATGAAGACAGAATTATAACTCGAGGTTTTTTAAAGGCAGTCAATAAAAATTATATCGCAAATAGACGCTTTTGATAAATGGAACCGACTCTTTTTCGATGTATTGGATTCTCAAACAAATAGCGCCTGGTAATTTGTTCATGAAGAGGTATTCTTCTAAAAGTAATGACGAGAGCACATTTATAAGTTCGTCAAGGTGATGAGATTCATCTTACTTTCAATAGGCTAACCAGTCTTCCTCTAGTTCATTGGTAGATGAACATTGTTCCATATGTCTCTTTGAGAGAACATTGGATACATTTCACTACTACTTAATAAACTCCATCATCAAATATCTAACGAACTTAATCGCTCCTTAATGTGGCTTTATGAGCTAATTATTCAATTTTTATCAGTCGCAAAGCTGTTTATTAAGGAGGTGATTTACTGAAAGCGAATTTTATAGAGATGTCAATTAAAGCCATACCATAAAAAAGAATAGGAAGTTTGTTCAAAGGGTTATTATGTAGCTGTTTGTATGGTTAACAGATCTTTCTATAATAATGGGTAAAACTATTAACACAGACAATCACGGAAAAGATATTAGGTTCAGATAAATGCTTTTATTGGTTTGATGCTTTTGAAGCTTGTTGGTTTAGTTGCGCAGTTTTCACTATAGTTTTAAAAACACCTTTAGGATCTACTTGAAATTTAGGGTGGAAGTCTTACTTTAACTATTTTATGTGTACTCTCATTTTCAAGATTATTTTGAATCTCTAAGGCATAATTAACTTCACTAATGTTATGCAACCTATATTATTTAATTTTTTATTATCTCATTTCTTTCAGATCTGTTCATCCATCTACTGCCTAAGTGGATTTCTCAGATACGATCAGTGTTACTTTTACGTTTCTTTTATTCTTTGTTTCTAACGAATTCACTTGTCTATGGTAATGAATTAAATCTGTTTGGGATTTGGTAGATACATATTTATGCAATTATTAATTCTACTCCCATGATTGTTCAAAACTATTTACAAAATGTTCTTACTCAAAAAGCTTTATTTTTATTTGCTCTTTCGGCAAATCTTATCCTCTGCCTTCTAAGAATCAACGATTATATTCATGTAAACGCGTGGTTTTTGTTTATGCCATTTTGGTTATGGAATATTCTAGTGTTTGGGGGTTCGATCATTTTATTCCTGTTTAAATCTCTCAATTTAACCAAACTCTCTTTATTCTATTATCTTTGCCAAATTTCAATACTTACATTTCAAATATTTCTGTGTATTAAACTAGAAAAAAATGCATTAAATTGGTATGTAGTCTTTATACCAATTTATTGTTTATGCGTTTTAGGATTTTTGACATTCACAAAAGCGTTTTGTGAGTTAACTGTTTATGATTGTGAGAAATTTCTTGCATTAAATCTTCCATGTGTCATTTTAATTGCCTTACGTTTAGATAATTATATTAATTGGACATGGGTTGTAGTGTTAATACCATTCTGGATTATAATGGGATTTTTGATTGTATTGCTGCTATTTTTAGTTTGTATGTTGTGCGGATTGAGTCGTTTCACTCAGAAAGATCTTCATGATATTGTTTCAATGATTGGATGCACATCAATTGCATTTACTTTTCTCATATTCGTTGTTCTTTTGGTCTGCCGATTAGATAATATTAAACTGTTTACATATAATGAAATATTCTTACCATTATTCATTTGTGTTTTGTTTCTGATGATTATGACGATTTCTACAAACTGGTTAGTCAGCAAATTTTGCGGAAATAACAATAGTTCTAGTGGAAGAAATTGTTTAGTGGAATATACCTCCGGATCTCGGTAAGCTTCTATCATTGTGGTTAAGGAATCATCTTACTTTACGGATTTATTAGCACACTGTTAAACTGGTTTATATTTTGGCACTGGCTACAATTTTGTCACAAAAAGGTTGTAAGGCATATATAATTACTAATCGAAGGCTGCTGAACCTCAGTAGTCAAGCACATATTGATTGTAGATGAAAACCACCGGCACTTTGGTGCCGAGTTAGCTGAGGTGAAATCCTAAAGAATGAACCAATACTGAAGATGGAGTACATCAATCATCAGGTCGAAGCCTAACAAATATCTTTTCCATTCAGAGGTGTTTAACTGAACCGTTAACTTAAAAATGTCTTTGGATGCTTCATTATCTCATAATTCTCTCCACCGTTAATATCATTTTTTAAAGGTAAAACAACGAGCATAGCCAATCCTATTGTTAATATATTGGCTGTTAAAGATGGTTTTCATTACGATTTAAATAATATGCGGGTATATAAAGTTATTATTTCTGAATTAGATAAGATATTAGTAAGCAGAGTAAACTGCATACCTATGATTTTACAAATCTCGAGGAATATGTATAAATCGTGCTGTATACAGAGGAATCAAGTGTTTGTCTAAAGATTGTGCTTATTTTCAACTTGGAAAATAAGGGCGAAGATCAATAGTTTAGCTTCAGTGAATTCAAAACTTTGTGACACATCACTTGCTATTGATCTTTTACAATGACAGGCGTCATTATGTTGTTTAAAACTACTTTGATTGTTAGCGAAATAGTTTCTCGATTAAATTAGGACCATATTGTCTGTGATGACTGGTTACTTTTGTTTAACAGTTATGGAGTTACAGATCCGGTCATTACGTTAAGCTAGCATCTCTAATTTATTCTATATTCAATTGATTAACAATATTGAGTATAAGGTGGGTGAAACGACATAGGATTTAAACATTGAATTTTATTGTAGGAGCATTAGCCCCAATATGGAAATTCCGTCCACAGAGGATTGTCAACAAGTGTTTACCGGTTGGCCAGAATCTCCAAACACGCTTGTTTAACCAAAAAGTTTATTCAAACGAGTGAATAGGTAAAATTAGTCATGTTATGATGAAGCAGGCAATAGTTATTTTATTCTACCATAACGTCGATGTTTTGTATGATTTTCCATGTAAACAACTTAATACCATATTTAGCCTTCCACTGATTGATTATACTCAGCTCTTTGTATTTTATAGATTATCAGCAAATACTTCGTTGGACCCTATTCAAGGAGGAAATACACTTGTTGCTAATATAAATGTTTCACGTGATAAGTATTCAGAAGTTCATCAGAATCTTACAAAGAACACTGCTTCCGAACTGCCTGAAAATAGTGTCGAAACGGTTATCTCACTCAATACAGAAACTCCTTGCAGTAATTTACTAATGAAAGACAAACATTTTCTTCATTCGAATAAACCAAACCAATGTATGATTAAAGATGACTCTTTATCACTTCCGGATTAGAGTACCTAAATCTAATGACCATCGTATATTGATTTTACAAACAATATTCTTACATTTGTAATCTCAAATACTGCTTATCTATTTAGTGCAATTGTAGAGGACAATGTTATCTTACTGTAATTTGTAAAACATGTTTTAACTTTTTATTTTTTGTAAAAAAGACGTTTATTACAATGAATCTGCTTTATTTGTATTGAGATTAACAGATTTTGAGCGATTTATTAAATCATTATTCATGTTTGTGAAATAAGTGATAAATTCTACTATTCATAAAGTTCATTTATGACTGATACAATTATGAAATAAATCCCTGAGAAAATGTTTTAATAATCAACATTAATTTTTGAAAATCTATAAGAATAATTAGTTTAATGAACTTACTCAATTCTAGTAATTATCGGATTTTGGGACTAGATTTCACAATAATTTGGTGTTAATTTAATGTGTGTTTCCATGTTACAATTCAGAGGACAGTGAACGATAGATTTATTCATATTCCAGGTTAAGAAATATTTATATATCGAGCCTTAAGTGAAACATAAGCTAGAAAACAGAAACCTGTTTATAAGAAAACATACTTTAACAGAGGTCTAGTCTGAGTAGTAATTAACAACAACCAATAACTTCACAACTGGTATTGAGCTTTGGTTTATACGCAAGGAAATGAATTTCATGTTAATTAAGGTGTAAAATTTGTTAAGAATTTCTAGGATTACCGAAGTAGTTACAGGTGGCGCACATTCATCACTGAGGATGCAGACGAGCGAACTTTTAAACACCGATTGTATGATTGAGAAACAATAGTTCCACCATACTGTATTAACTATGAAACTTGTAGATCTCGATGTTTATCAACAGTGTGTAGATCGCAGCTTAATTTCAAAGTAGTTGAGTGTTTTTATAAGAAAATGAAGACGAAAGCGTTGAAGAGTACAGTTTATTCCATCAAAACAATAATAGTAAAATAATAACAGTATATTTAGGAAATATAAATTTATATAAATATGGATTAATTACTATTGAGCTCACTGTTTAAAAGACGATAAATTGTGCTTAGTGACAGTACTTTTTTATTTGTACAACATGTAGAAAAAGAATCGCTGTCGACCAGGAAGTGAGCAAAAAGTGTTGGGATAAAGTAAGGATTCAGAGAAAAATAAATCTTGGACATAAGAAATAGGAGTAAAACATTGAAATCAGTGTGTGTATTAGTGGGCACAGAATATAATCTAAAATAAAGGAGGAATGAATGAAGAATATGAAGTAATTAATAAATAAAAAAATATTTGCATCTTCTGAATGAGCTGTATAAACATTTGAAATACAAGACATGAAAGGAATTCCTGTATATTGAGAAATAAATGTTTCTAGGAATTTTGAGAGGGGTACATTTGGTGAAGATATAGAACTCATTTGTTTACCTGTATGTAATATGAAAAAAGGTCATATTTTATTGTTCATATACACAGCCTTTTTTGTTCGATCCATGTAATATTTGGTTATTACAGTAAATTTTGGCTTAATACAAGCTCAAGGTGGGTTGTATATAATACAAAAAATGTTACAATGTAAGAAAGGAATGTGAGTTTATTGTACACAGGTTGTTAGGTCTTAAGTTTGATTGATACAAAATGATTGAGTATTATGTTAATATTTATCTACGGGACTGGGTAATAACAAATTGAATAAATTTTACAAATAAAAGTTTGAGAAAATATGTTTGCACTTAAGACTGATTGCTGATTAATATAATGTTTGTTTCTTTGGATGTTTCTACCCCAATACCTTCATGGTTATAGGACTCAATACGATTATCACAATGCTCTTTGTTTTTGTTTTGTACTTCTTCCAGGTTTTCGTTCTCTTCTTCGTACAGCTCCTCCTCTTCCTCATCTTCAACATCCCTTTCACTAATGTTTTCTTCGTCATCATCAGTTTGCTCTTCTTCATCAGCTTCTGGAATCGGCAATTTTACAAATTTATCTATATTTCGACTTAAATAAAACGAAACTGGGCGGCGTTGTACACGTGGACTGAAAGAAACTGGTAAATTATAATGATAAAATAGCTGTTGTTCTTGTGGTTTCTGCAAAAATTCTTCTTGCACTAGATCTTGTTGTTGTTCATGTTGCTGTAGAAATGGTGGGAGTGAATCTTCTACTTGTAAACTAGTGGGTGGGTTAGGATAGACTGTTTTTTCATTACTTGATTCTTGTACTGACAAATTTTTAGAATTATCATAAGAATAATTTTTGCATGATGAAATTCTTTGCCTGCGATTATCACTGATTGTTACATGTTTACCATGACGAGGAGCTACGGGAACACTCGAAGGTCTTCCAGGTGAACGGGCTTTCAATGATACAGTCCCGTTATTACGTTGTTTTACAGATCGAACAGTGTTAAATGGTCTTGTATCCATATTCCTTTTGATATTAGTGCCAACATTGTTCAAAGACATGTTCTTCCAATTCATGGTGTATGTACTGTCAATTCGGTACAAGATAAATATGCGTAAATTACTAAAATAAACATTATAACTTGTGTAGAAATACTGAGGCCTTAGATGAGGGATTAATGAGAATCAGCTAATCGTCTAGGCGAAAATTCAGTGTTTTAGAAGAACTGAAGAAATTTAAGAGTGTGAATCTTGTTTGCCAGTATACCGAAATATTCTAGATATAATTCACTAAGGCACCGTGGCTGGACATTGTAAGAGTTCCTAACTAGGTTAAAATATGTTCAGCGCCTCCTAGCTTTTAATAATTCGCTAGTTGGTGTCAGTTAACGATGATAGCCTTTTTTGAATAACTATTCTTGATATTTAGTTCTTAGACTGCACGTGAGGGTAGATTTTAACACCTATTAGTAGCTAATCAGGATCCATGAAAAATGTTCTAAGGGAATTTTCTCGAACATAACAAAAGTATTCCAAGTTGTTCTGTGTTAGTTTTTATAAACTAATTTATTTTATTGTGTTTAAACATTTCGAATGAAATTATCAACGTCCTTATTACGTCATAATTTCTATCATAATTAAAAGCTTTGAAATTTTCTACTCACTTTTTTGTTTGGTTTGAAGAAAATACTAAATTTTTAATATGGTCAAGTTTTTCTGGATTGCAACTTCCTGTGCTCAATAAATCTAATGCTTCTACAAGACTGACCGAACGAGATTGTAAACGGCGTATTTCTTTGCATAAAGCACTGAATAACGAGTATGGTAGGTGAGGTTCTTGTATGTCTGGTATCTGTACACCTAGGAAGATGAAATGAGAAAATAAAATGGTAGGAATATATGCATATTATAAGCGGAGGGTATAAAAATAAGTGAAGTTAACTAAGTCGTGTTTCAATAAAGCCAACATAACAATTGAGGCAGAATAATATGAATTCATTTTATTTCGTGGTTTCTTACCAGATGTATACAGCCGACATTGACTATGAAAAGAATTAGGATTGCTCGAAATTATATTATGTACCGATGTCGAACTTTAATATGAATATGGCTGTATGCAGATGATGAGAAACCATGAAATAAAATGAATTCACATTATCCCTCCTCAATCGTTGTTTTGGATTTATTCGAATTCGTCAAAGGAACAAGCTGTATGAAATTTTTTTGCTTACTTGAAGCAGAACTAAAGTTGTAGACTGTGAACCATTTGGTTACCTTCCTTATGAAACCTAAATGACTTGGTGGGAGATTCTTAATAGGATCAAAAATATACATCAATGGCTATTTTCAATCTAAAATAAAACAAGTATCCAGTGCCATCTGACTTTCGAAAGTCCTTCAGATGACTTTAATACACTAAGCTTCGTGAAAACTCCCACTGGTGTTGGATGAACGATCAGCTTGGGAGAAGGATTTTCTTATTTCTACAGTCTTTAAACTGGATGGTTTAGTTTTGATAATTATTTTGTCTTTTTAAACAACATAAGAATAAAGTTTTAGAAAATGAATTGCTAGACTTTCTCTATATGTATTCTCTATATGTTTTGTCGATATCGTATCTGTTAACTGTGCTGGGATTATTTGTTTTAGAAATATTTGTCATTTATACAGTCTGAAACGCCAGCTAAAAATTTCCGGTAGAATCATTCCACATAGCTACAAGAACTCTATAAAAACCATTCGTACTGATATTATTTGAAATTAAACGTTCAGAGAGGTTTTGTTCATTATATCTCAGTGATTCTTTGTGGTGGTTTTATAATGTTTTGGTAATATGGTTTATCTTGTATTGTAGCTAAGAAACTTTCTTTCGGAAGTTTTTTTAAGATATTGAAAATTTTTTTCCTATGTATCATTTCACTAAGGTCGCATCTAAGTAGCTGAGTAGAACCAGTAATAAATTTCTAAGTATTCACCTCATAAAATGCGCATCGCTAAACAAACGAACCATTAGACATCTGAAAATTGACTATCCAAGGTCATGTGACCTTCTTATACGTTGGCCATGTTATGGGTTTTATTTGAATAATTCGAAATATGTCTTAGAATAAATAACTAAGTGCAAAACTACTCACCATTATTGTTTATGCTGTCAGTGTACTGTATTCGAATTGTTTTATTCGCTATCTGGATTTTTGGGGATTTGTCTGACAGAAATTTAAGATTTTCGCGTAATTTTTGAATTGTCTCAATTTTGACTTGCGTTTCATTAGCCCAGACTTCGGACAATAAATTCATCTACACCATTAATAAAAGAATCATACGATAACGTAGGTTTGTAATGAGAATTTTTAAGTGTCAAAAATCATATCAAAATGTGAAAATAGGTAAGGTGGAAACTATTATTACGTAATCGTGAAAATACTTAAACATTAGATGATGGTGGTCCTAATTTTGTGAGGTGTATCAATTTCTTTCAGGTTATAGATACGTCTTGCTGATCTTTTGAGATATAAAACAAGAGAGGAAGAGGTGAAGCGGTTAACGGAATATATCCCTATTTAGTGATTTTATTCTTGAAAATATAAAATCACAAATACATATCATGTTTACTCTGATCGTCTATAATACGTGGCTTAATAATACTATTTTATCAAAGGTAAACAAAATATGTTTTGTTCATCTGAAGATTAAAATAAGAGTCGCTATGGAACCTAAAAATTAAATGAATGAGCTAAAGAAACTAGGTAAAATGACCAGTCTCAGTAATAAAAGATTACGGAAGTTTTAAAATGAAATTTATTAGGTTAGAGTGATGAGGATAATAGATTGTATGAGAGGAGTGGAGATGGTAAGTGAAGTAATGCGTAGTTTTTCAAAAATTAGTATTAAAATTATGGAAGATGAAGAAAAGCTTGAGTGAGATTCTTTACATACTGAATTAGTTGATGTTTATTCTGACATACTGTTTTTTATCTTGTAATCCAATAAACGAATAGTTTTCGCTTAGGAAAATCATAAAGTAAAGAAGACCTGAAAAAATCTCTAAAAAAATCAATTAGGCAAAATTAAGTTTTGAATATATATAAGATTGTATACATCAGAGATGATTGGGCCATAGGATGTGACTAAAAGTGATGAATTATAGAATATTGATATCATATAAAAAAATCATAAATACTGATATATATTATTATTGAAATAACAGTTAGACTAGGATTTTAAATCAGTCAGGTTATTCGTTAGTGACCTTAACAATTAATCCCAGTGATTGATAGGATAAGTATGTTAAACGATTTCGGCCCACTTTTATGATATTCTGCAAACTGTACTGATCAAGCAATGATTAATTCTTCTTAACTTGTGGCTTAATATACCTTGGCTTTTCACAATTCTAAGAAAAAAGTGCAAGCTTTTATCCTCTTGTTCATTAACTATTAGTCTATTCCATTGGAATGACTGAACCGCACCAATTAATCGTAGTGCATAGCTTGGTGTTGGCCACCAACTAGCACGAAACCTAAATCCAAAACTTCCCACTGATTATCTCCGACCACCTAACAAACAATCTCTCTATCAAATAATAATTTCATTATAGCCATTATAAATCATGACGAAAGTGACAAGATTTAAGTAAACAGTTATGTCACATATATCCGTAATAAACTACAGCAAAGCACTTTTATACGTATAGAGGTTTATCGGTTACTTTCAAGCCAGATATTTTCTCATTATTTAACCTAAAACTGAACTTTAATTTGATCCTATTAAATAACATCGTTACATGAATGATTTTAACATAAAATAGTAGAAGAAAAACGCTGAAAAAGACAAGTCATCTTACTTTATTAATTGCCTCTGTTAGTTCCTTTTCTTTTGTTTGTATACTCATACATTGATCATTTTGGAGACTATGGGCTTTAATTTCCATTTGCTTTAATTGATGAATTCGAAGACTAATAATGGGAATTAAAACAAGATATCGTTTAATCACAAGAGAAGTAAAAAATTGATCAGTACTTAGGACCAGATGACAAGATAATGGTTATTCCTAAATGACCATGTAGTGAGTTAGGTATTGACAATATAATTCTATCTGATACAGAGTGATGGGACTTGGATGATATCTTGAAATTTGACTGTACTATAAAGGTCACATTTGCACTGTTTATTGTATCACGTTGTTAACTCATTATTGTTCAAACTACTCAAGAGATAAAAATGAGTAAATGGCAACACGTGAAAAAAATGTCTTTTTATTTCAGTAGACTTAAGAAGAGTTTCATACGAATAAGGATTTCAAAAGAAGGGAATAATACATTTTCATAAGTTGATATTTTAATTGTCAATAAAGGTTTATTATATGAGAGTTATCAATGTTGTCTGGTTGCTCAAAATCTGATAGTTGAATTGATACACAGTAAAGAACAGAGATTTTCGTGTGGAAAATCGTCCGCACAAACAATCAAAGCCCAATTTTAAGAAAGAAATGAAAGAAGTGGGAATTTCATTCAGCTTTTCCAATCGGGTCTGAATATACCATATGAATCAATTACAACGTTAACCATGAAATTGATCCTTGGTAAATTTGTCGTGAATTAATTACTTCATTTTGGATTTTCTTCGTAATCTAATATAGGCGTATGATTGTTTATAAACTAATAATATCCATTTATGATTAATTTTGGTCAGTTTTCATTATTTTGATTTTAGAAATCTTAGAATTATCAAATATCTGAATGAATGGACACATTTCTAAATCATTAGTTCCAGAAGTTTGAAACGTCTTATGTAAATGTAAATATTTAACTGTTGTTGAAAACAGAAGGTACAGATTGTAAAATTTAGTTTGATTAGTAGTGTAGTGAACAAGAACACGAATCGGGACATACACAACATTACAGAATATCTCATTAAAATATGAGAACCATATAGTGAACAGTTAATTTGCAAAATAACAATCAATTCACTTAGTATTGTTTGTTTGGATCTTCCCATCGATGTGTTTAGGACTGCAACTGGTCAGTCTCTAATTGGCATATGTGCATACTGTGCGTATTGCCTCGATATACCTTAATTCACAAGCATGGTAAGCAGAGATGGATAGTGGCTAGCAGTGGAATCCAGGACGCGCGTTTCGTCCTATTTGGGACTCGTCAGCTGGATGTACCTGCATCTCAGAGTTGATGTTCACTCTGGGACTCGAACCCAGTACCCTCGCTTCAAACGCCATCGCGTTATCCACTCGGCCACTGAGTCCTGATAGCCACTTGCTTGTGCGATGGGGTGAAGTTTGAATTCACTTAGTATTGTTTGTTTGGATCTTCCCATCGATGTGTTTAGGACTGCAACTGGTCAGTCTCTAATTGGCATATGTGCATACTGTGCGTATTGCCTCGATATACCTTAATTCACAAGCATGGTAAGCAGAGATGGATAGTGGCTAGCAGTGGAATCCAGGACGCGCGTTTCGTCCTATTTGGGACTCGTCAGCTGGATGTACCTGCATCTCAGAGTTGATGTTCACTCTGGGACTCGAACCCAGTACCCTCGCTTCAAACGCCATCGCGTTATCCACTCGGCCACTGAGTCCTGATAGCCACTTGCTTGTGCGATGGGGTGAAGTTTGAATTCACTTAGTATTGTTTGTTTGGATCTTCCCATCGATGTGTTTAGGACTGCAACTGGTCAGTCTCTAATTGGCATATGTGCATACTGTGCGTATTGCCTCGATATACCTTAATTCACAAGCATGGTGAGCAGAGATACTAAGTGAATACTAAGGGAAACTAAGTGAACAATACTAAGTGAATTCAAACTTCACCCCATCGCACAAGCAAGTGGCTATCAGGACTCAGTGGCCGAGTGGATAACGCGATGGCGTTTGAAGCGAGGGTACTGGGTTCGAGTCCCAGAGTGAACATCAACTCTGAGATGCAGGTACATCCAGCTGACGAGTCCCAAATAGGACGAAACGCGCGTCCTGGATTCCACTGCTAGCCACTATCCATCTCTGCTTACCATGCTTGTGAATTAAGGTATATCGAGGCAATACGCACAGTATGCACATATGCCAATTAGAGACTGACCAGTTGCAGTCCTAAACACATCGATGGGAAGATCCAAACAAACAATACTAAGTGAATTCAAACTTCACCCCATCGCACAAGCAAGTGGCTATCAGGACTCAGTGGCCGAGTGGATAACGCGATGGCGTTTGAAGCGAGGGTACTGGGTTCGAGTCCCAGAGTGAACATCAACTCTGAGATGCAGGTACATCCAGCTGACGAGTCCCAAATAGGACGAAACGCGCGTCCTGGATTCCACTTCTAGCCACTATCCATCTCTGCATAACAATCAATTGTTTCAATCTTGACTGTTTCTTCTGCAAATATCCGTCTATAGTCTCCGATTACAATTGTTCATGCATTTTCGTACTAATTGCTTGCCGTTCCCGTTCTCTCCTTAACGATCTTCTACTAAAATACATTCAATGCCCGATCATCACCAAATAGTCGTTATGTGGATATCAGTAATCCACACTACAGTAGATGATTTAAAAGTTTACGTTTATTAAATTAAGAAAAAAGTCTATGAATTATCAAATATAAACCATAAAATAAATTGACTTATTATTTTGTTTCATCTTTGAGTTAAAAAAAAGGTGTCCTTTTTTACATTAATGAAGATATATGGTTCATAACATCTAAGTAGATTACAGATAATAAGGACAATAAACTCTATTAAATTGAGTATAGAACTGTAAATAACTCCTGACTCTATGCAAAAGATTGAATACCATACATAGTAAGTAATTTATTCGTAGTAATTCAGTAAAACAAAATATTGAAAGTATACTGATTTGTTATTTATGGTTCTCTTAGTAGATTTGTAAAATGAAATAGACTAGATCTATTCAAAGTCTTTTCTATCATCTACAAAAAAGTCTAAATTTACGTAATTACAGATAAAGATTTGAGATTTTTTCTTGAGATTATGAATTCGATACAGAACTGAAAATCCTAATTAGCAAAAGAAGACATGATGTATGCAAAGAACTATGGTCTTTCAGATAACGGAAAATTTATTTATTTAGTCATAGTATGAAGAAGTAAGATTGACTGAGCACTGAAAAATATTATTCTAGTGGAAGAATTCATTCTCACGAATGTAAATTTGTATATAAATACATGGAAGGTTAATGTTCATCAGGTAATGGGAACAGGTAGGATATGATGTAATGCTAGTTAGTTAGTCCTCATTTTCTAAATGTGAACTACTAGAATTTAAGAAAAAAGGTATTTAGGAAAATAAAGAGAATATTATATTTCCCATAGATATGTTAACAGTTAAGAAATAGTAATATTCATATATTTCTGTAAATCATGTTTGACATCTATTCACAATGAAGAGACATTTTTTTCAGAAAGAGTTTTGTGGAGATTTCAGTATTTTCATAATTGAAATCATGAGTCAATTGAAGCTAGACCATCATGGAAAATCTGGAAGCACTGGATGGCGTTTCGTTCCATTATGGGACTCCTCAGTAGTGCGCGTCTATCAGTTAAGTGCTCTGGCGCGAGACTGATAGGTCCTGGGTTCGAATCTCGCGAGGCGGGATCGTGGACGCGCACTTCTGAGGAGTCCCATAATAGGACGAAAGGGCCGTCCAGTGCTTCCAGGTTTTTTATGATGGTCCAGATTCAATTGACTCATGATTTCAACTATGAAAAGGTGTTTTTTTATTCATCTGAAATTCAGGTAAATTAAAAATTTTTTTTTCTTTGGTTTTTCTAATTTGTCAGACAATCGGAATCATTTCAGCAATATTTCTGTTAATGGTAAGTATTTTTTTGAATAGAATAATTTACATAGGAAATGAACTCTTTTGTATTTACCTTTTATTCAGTGGTTGATTTAGTCAAACGTTAATAAGTGAGCAAACGCGTATTGTGTCTGGCTATTGCATAAAAGCTGTGATGGAATATTTGATCCGTTAGTGTGTAATTCTTGGCTACTGCTTAATGTGATGTGCAGAGTTGGTGAGCCTAGAAACTGTTTTAAAGAAAGGAAATGTTATAAGTCTATGTAGTGCATTATTGTGTTAGTTCGAGTTATGTTCGAGATATGTAGACTTCTTATTTGAGGTCCTTCTGATAAAAAGTTTGGATAAAAACTCTAAGTGATATGATTAAAAATCAATCACAATTTTGCTGATACACCAGTTCTTTATCTTCTTAGTTCTTGATAAGTCTTGATGATTGAATGCTATACTCAGATCCTAAGTTATTCTCGTAACCCCCAAGCTAGAACTACACAGCGACTTGAACACGAGAGAAAAAGCGCAAAATATACGTGAAGCACTTTACTTCAAAGGTTCATTTATGTACAGAAAATATAGGGTTTTTATAGTCCTTAGGTTTTCCTGAAAATTCTAGAATACTACTTAGCATAGTAGCAGTGTAGTAATCAGCCAATCAGAACCTCTACATGTGACTTTTCATTTTCGCGATGTTTCTAGCAGAACTTCTAATCAGACGCTGATTGGATAAAATGCTCCTTAATGTTTCCTGAGCTTGTCACGTCTATTGCGATAAATTGGCAGTATCATCCCAACATATCTAAAACCAACACTTTTGTCATTCCATAATTATTATTTTCTAAATGTATTTGTTACTTCATACTTCCCTATTTACCACCATTTGGATATTCTCTTCCTCTATGTTGATATGAGTTGTATTAACCTAAACTGATACAAACTTGTGTAAAGTTCTTCGTGATTTCAATGGAACGTGTAGTTGGTTTACAAATAGCATTATAAAATATTAGAAATATATTCTTGAACAAAAAAGGGCATTGTAGAATAATTATGTTTACTGGTTTTTAAACCATTACATTAAATGAAACTGGTTTAAATTATTACAGAGTTTTCCGTTAAAATAATCCACATTCTGTTAGTGTATACATATCCAATGGTGTTCAGATAATCGATAGGGAAAACAATCGATTATTAAATTTTATTTTGTAGATTTTGAGTGATTGATGGATTATATTGTAAGTTGGATGCTCGGAGAAGATTGAATGGTCATGTGTATGTACATATATTTATATGAGTGTATCTCATTCAAATGACAGATGAAAAAGAAATCTATTCAATGATTAATATGAAAATTAAATTCGATAAAGAATTTATTTTCTTTTAACTCGTCTATCAAATCATTGAATTTGAAAATATTGAGGAAATTATGGACAATAAATTATTCTTATTACAGCTATATTGTTTGTGTAGACATTCTTCATTACTATTATTATTATAACAGATATAACAGTTTTATTTTCGAAAAAAAACCCAAATAGGGTATATATTTACAGTTAGATGTCAAGTGTAATTCTCTCGATTTTTCTTGAACTCTTTAGAAATAATCTGTACTGTGTTTTGGGGTATCTTAAGAAAGTCATTTGGGTTAGTAGTTATGAACAGACATTGAAAATTACTTAATATCAGATATTTATTGATGTTCAATTCCTCAAACAATTGTAGGCGTGCTCACTGCTAGTCTAAAACTAACATCAAAGTGGTGTCCAGTATCTTTTTGTTGTTTATCTAGCAATCAGTCAATGATGTTAACAGTATTGAAAGATGATAAAATAACATTTCCAAACTACCGACACATATATTTTAAAAGTAAAACCTTGATGATGTAATGCTACTTCTGTTTATTAATATCGTTCTAACAGATGCCTATACTAACAAAAATATTACGGCATTAGATATCTGAAATTGTTTGTTTTATCATGGGAAATTTATCCAAAGATTTGATTAAATATTCATAAATGAATAAATCAGTCCATTATCGTATTTTCCTTCAACAAAGTTTAAACGTTACTTTTGTAAATTTTGTATGAAAAGACAATTTAACGTGTTTAAAAGCTTTTTATAGGGTTTTATAATCGATAGAAATAACTTAGAAAATATCAATTAATGATTTGTCTTTTTTGAAGTGATCATACGTGTTCATTATCGACTTTTATTTTACTCAAAACTTTTTGGGTGTATGCTTATAAGTCACTTGCATTGCTTTTAGATAGTAGTGCACAATGTCTACCCTGAACAATCAATAATTCGACTAATATAACCCAATTTATTCTTTGTTATAAAAAGAAACTAAATGCTCAACAACTGGACTGAATGTAACTCATTATGAGCATGATCGATAAAGAAGTAGAAATGTGTTTGCTTTCCAGTCTGAACGACAGACATCTGGCTTACAAACAACTAGAATAATAAATAGCCACCTATATAAAATCGGGTTTTATATTCACCGACAGACAACAATAATTGTCATGCTATACAGAGTTTCTAAGATGATAGCTTCCCGATAAAAAGAAAAATGGTGGACTCTATGGTTGTGTCATGTAAAAGAATAATAGTAATAGATGTCTTATGCAAAGGAACTATATTACCATTTCACTAAACTTTTCCTGATTATAACCAACTGATTGTGTTCCATGTTTTGAATCTGACAATAGTTGTAAATGTATTATGTTATTTTTCCAAGGTTGTAAATACTTCTTTAAGAGTAGTTAAAATATCCAAAAAAAATATTTACAAAATTCCGATATAACAAAGTAAAATCAAATCAGCCTAAATTTGGGAGTATTTTAAACTTATATGATTTGTTAAAAAGACTGACATTGAAGAAGACGTGAAAAAAATGGAATAGTCAATAGAAATTCATTATTGATTTGTTGGTGAATAGTTTACAAAATAGAAAATTTATTTTAAATCTGATCAAGAAAAAATATCAGAAAGCGTTTTGTGGATATAATAGTAATTTCAATAGTTAAGATCACGAGTCTGTTGTGAGATAGTAACTCACTGAAGACAATGGTGGATGTGTCTCTCAATTTCGTGGATCGGTTGAAGCTAGACATTAACACCTTTGGGTGCCGGCTGTAGTCTAGAGGTTAAGCGCTTGCGTTCGAGTCTGGGTTCGAGTCTCGCGAGACGGGATCGTGGATGCGCACTGCTGAGAAGTCCCACAATAAAACGAAATGGCCGTCCAGTGCTTCCAAGTTTTCCATAGTAGTCTAGCTTCAATTGACTCATGATCTCAACTATTGGAAAAAAATATCATTTGAAAATTTAATTCTAATTGAACTACTAAATATAAACTTCATATAATTTTCCCTATTGATAAATATCAATAAAACAAAACAAAATAACAATTTTAGTTGTGATAAAAATGAAATCATTTAATTCACTTAATTATACTAGCTATTGGATTAGTTTTAAAGCTAATTTGTACAATTATTTTGTTATTCTATCAAATTTTGTGATTGTTATTGCATCATTTTGGTATCGATATATATTCACTAGAAATATGTTTTCATATATTTTTCTCTAGAACTTTCACATATAATAATATATAAATAATCATTGACAATATCACTTAATAATACTTGAAAACGGGACTCGAATCCAGGACCTTTGATCTCGTGTACGAACGCTTAACCTCTAGACCACTGAGCCGACATCCGACAGTCTTAATGTCTGAAATGGATAAATGTCTCACACCCAACATGGATTGGACTCCGCTGGTCATAGATTCTCACTGGAACTCCAGGAAATTAATCTTGAAGCTAGTCACTAGTGAGCACATTATTATTATCATTATGAGGATTTGTGGAAATTGTAGTATTTTATCGGTTAAATTTACGAGTCAATCTGAGCTAGATCATCATTGAGGATAAGTATTTGTGCGCGAGACTAAAGGTCATGGGTTTGAGTCCTGCGTGGGAGATCTTGGGTATCCTTTGCTGAGGAGTCCCATACTAAGAAGAAACAGTTATCCAGAGCTTCCAGATTTGAATGGTGATCTAGATTAGATGGACTCGTGAATTCAACTGCTAAAATGCTATAATCTGCAAAAATCCCCATGCTTGTATAAATGTTGAATTCATTGTACTAATCTTATATTAATATGGTTTGTGTGTACATTGGTTATAAATGATGGCTACTTTTATTTCTAGGTTGCAAGCAGCTAAAAAGTATCTACAAAATAAATTTCATCATCTTGTTCTACTATGGTTTTTGTACTTGCTTCATTTAAATTACGTATTAGCCAAAGTTGTTTGTTTCAATTCTATAAAATTGTGTATTTGCTTTTAGTCATAAAAAATAAAGCTAAGTGTAAATCATTTCCGACATTGAAATTTTAAAGACTACCAATAATTCTACATGTTAGTGATAATAAAAGTGAAGAGCGAAGACTAATAACTAAGTTGAAGCTTTATTGGTTTCATGGATGACTAACGGAGGTACTTATCCTACTATTAAATTAGTGTTTTCACTGATATTCTTACGAAGAAAACATCTTATATCAAATAATTTGTAGATATGAGTTTTCTTATACCAAATGATAAATAAGTTTTTAACCAATTGTCACATCTTGTAACTTTTCATCGTATGAAGGAATTGTTTCACGTCACTCATATAGCCCCTGTTGTTCTACATTAAGTCACTTTATGATAGTGGTATAAAGAGCTGTTAGCTTATAACATTATTCTGTTGAAAAGTTCCATACTAAAAGATGGTTACATGAAACAATTTAAGCAGTAAGTAATGGATAACAATTTAGACGAACTTACTTCATTCTCATGAGCGCCATATGTATACCATCCTCCTTATTGAGTTTATTCTGTTCAAAGAACAAAGCAATAAGTTTTCTTAAAAATTTGGTTTAATTTCAATGAAATAAATAAAAATTAAGGCAAATGAATAAGCATGACTGAATATGAACAATACTGAGAGTAAGCTCTAATAGTTTCATATATATATATAAGTCATGGTATTAATTATTTTAGTCATTAGTATGAACAATGATAATCAGATACATGACATTCAATTAATATTTAACTAGTATATAATATAAATAAAGAGTTCAGATGTCAAATACTTTATCACTTACTTACGCCTGTTACCCCTCGTGGAGGATCATAGGCCGACCACCAGCATTTTCTATCTGTCCTAGAAAGTTCTTTACAGTTGTTTCCATTTACTATTCATTTCTCTCATGTCTGCTTCCTATTCTTGTCGCAGTGTGTCCTTTGGTCTACTTCTTTTCCGTCTCCCTTCAGGATTCCAACTTAAAGCTTGCTTCGTGATTCAGTTTGATGAGTTCCTAAATGTATTTCCTATCCACCTTCATCATCTATTCCTAATTTCCTCCTCAGCTGTAAGTCTGTTTGTTCTTTTTTAAAGCAGGTATCGGGTCAACGAACATTCAGTATCTTATGCAGACAATTGTTTATGAATATTTGTACCTTTTTGATTATGGTTGTAGTAGTTCTCCAAGTTTCACCTCCATACAGTAGAAATGTCTTGACGTTTGTATTGAAGATTCTCATTTTGATGCTGGCTTGCAGATAGGTGTTTGGATTTCCATATGTTGTTCCACTGTAGGATTTCAGTCCTAGATTTGTCAGTCCTTGCCTTTACATCGGAATTCAATCCTCCACGTTCATCGATGATCCTACCCAGATACGTGAAACTTTTCACCTCTTTCAGAGTTTCTCCATCAAGTGTGATTATGTTGGTGTTCTCTGCATTGCATTTGAGGATCTTGCTTTTTTTTCTTGTGTATGTTAAGGTCTACTGATACAGAGACTGCTATTACACTAGTTGTGTTCGTCCCCATTTGTTGATGTGTATGGGTCATGTGCGAAGTACAAGTCGTCTAGTTGCATCAAAACTGTCTATTGTATTCCGTGCATCCCTTCAAATGTCGAGGTTTTCATAATTCAGTCAACCACCAGAGGAAAGAGGAAGACGTATTATAAGCAGCCTTGTTTGACTGTTTTGTACTTACAGTTAAATGTTAACTGTACATGTGAGGAAAACATTGAGATCATTCTCACCTAAGACGGTCTACAATTAGTATGTGTATGTGAGATTATGTTGAAAATTATGATTTTTGAATATCTTACCACTAGGAAATCACTATCGTTGATTAAAAGTATTTAACTAGTACCAGTTTGCTTTTAAAAGATAACTATTATGGACTTTATGATAGAAATAAAAATCTTAAAGATTTAAATTTATTGTAATTAATTACTAATAATTATTCCTTGGTATTGTATTGGGTAGAGTTTCAGATAAGTAACAGCTACTGATTAGTTATCCATAAATGTGGTGGTAAAAAGAGAGAAACAGTGTATTGTATATACTACCATAGTACTGGATCATATTTTGAAGTCGGAAACAACTTACGATAATACAGACTATACATATACTATTTATTCATGCCAAAAGTTGATCAGATGATATTAGTTCACGGTGAATATTAGTAAATAGTTAATCTTATTAATTTCTAGTTAATTTTTAATTACTTAGTATTATTTCATTGGGTGAAAATAGTGACAAGTTGACTTATCAACTTTCATATTATTTGATGACAGAGTTTTCATTTCTTCAAAGTACAAGTTATGCAAATCAAACTTTGTACTGCTTAATTATATATTATTAACATATGGACATCATAAAATCGTCATGAATCGGTGAATATTATTAGTAAGCAAGTTACATCTTTCATATGTGTTCACATTCTAAATATTTTAATAGTTAGTTGTATTTCTTTTAGTTGTTTACTAGTAAGTTATAATAGTTAGTCATATTCCAACTTATTCAGTAGTTGTAATTCTGGTAACCAAGTACCATGTAAACAGGTATACAAATTATCTTATTTTTTTCACTGGGTTGATTGTAATCTATTCTACACAACATTTTCAATCCTTTATTTAATACTTTTGTGTTTATTACATTGAACATCAATTAATTGTTTTGACAAATTTCGTCGAAATTAACATTGGGAAAATTAAATTAAGTCATTTATAACTAATCTGATACAGTATGTAATACCAACAAATTTAATAGGAATATAATTTATAGATTAATTAACAGTTAAATTTGTACGTAAAGTGAGTGTAATCCAACAACAAAATCTGGTTTTAGATCAGAAGGGGTTTTGCGGAGATTTCATTATTTTCATAGTTGAAATCATTAGTCAATTGAAGTTAGACCACCATAGTAAACCTGGAAGCTCAAAATCGTGGATTGGTTGAAGTTAGACATTAACACCGTTGGATGCCAGCTCGGTGGTCTATCGGTTAAGTGCTCTGGCGCGAGACTGGTGGGTCCTGGGTTTGATTCTCAAGAGTGCGGGATCGTGGATGCGCACTGATGAGGAGTCCCATATTAGGACGAAACGGCCGTCCAGTGCTTCCAGGTTTTCCATGGTGGTCTAGCTTCAATTGACTCATGATTTCAACGATGAAAATCTGGTTTATCAAGTAGTATGGCACTTTTTCTTTAACCAAAATGTAATTCTTGTCCAAAATGTAGTTCATTTTAGTTAAAATTGTTAGTAATAAAAATAAGGGAACATAAACCATTTCCTCTTCTATAGTAAGTATATCTTACAGACGCTTTCTGAATTGATAATCAAAAGTCATATATTAGATCATATGACTTTGGAAGTACTTGGGTATTATAATTATTATTTTAATAAACTGTAGATTTGTCATTTCAAGTGATTATGAAATAAACAGAGATAAATAAACTATAAAACACTTGAATTGGACATTTGATGGGAAGTTAATCATAAAAAAATTTCTTGTTATATCCCTATGAGTAGAATATATTTGTTATCTAAAACACTTGATTTAAGTTGATCAACTTTCGTTGAATAATATGTGTTGATGAATACTTTATGTGACGTTTTACTGATTAGCTATCGCCAAACTCCATCACATAATGAGATGATGTATATACAAGAATAGTAACCTGAAGAATACTTATTTCAACGGAGCAAACTGGCTGAAAAGATAAACAAAAGTGAAGAATCATACACTACTTATCACTGGCTCTTTATTATAGGCAATGAACGTTAACTAAACATGTCATAAACAATGGAAGACCTTTAAACCTCTATGCCTGAATGAGAACTTCACAACAGAAGTATGTACTTGAGAACATACTTATTGATGAGTGTAAGAAACCTGATGTTTGAGTTAACCATCAGAGTGAAAGTGACTACTTAAATAGTCAAAAGTAGTTTCATGAGTATTACAAAATATCATAAAAATGGAAATACTTTTTAATTTAACCAAACGTGCCTATATAATAAAGCTGATATTTTATCGATTTTCGAAAGCAATAAGATGAATAACAAATGGATAAGCGCTGTCCTTTTCAAAATCACTAAACACATATCTATCAGGTGTGTGTTTACGTCGAAGCAGTTATCAGACTGGGATGGTTAAACATAGTCGACAGAGAACTCTTGGTCTAGGTTTTGTGTTGTTAAACAATCCTCAGCAAGGGATACCACCAAACATGATGGAATTAGTATTTCCTGTGAGAAACAATGATGGTAATGTGTCAGACCGTAAAATTTTATTACCCTGATACGAATCTTACTTTTTAAAGTAAAAATGATGTGTGAATAGACTACACCGTTTGGTAATCCATTTAAAAATTGTTGCTATTCACTGTATGTATTTATTGATATCACAGGATATGTATTAAGTGGCAAAAAGCTTTCATTCATTGAAATTAATATTTTTACGGCAATAAAGATTTGAAGGGACTATACAACAATGAAAGTTGTGTCATACATAATTAACCTGACAAGCTCAGGGTAACAAAAACAAAAAAATAAGTTCTAAATAGTCGTTAAAAGTATAATATAGCGAAACTATTTTAGTTTATAAAAGTACTTATGGTAAGAAGAAGGAAAGATACCATTTTTTCACAACCATCAATTTCTGTAGTTCACTAATAAGTACAATTTACATTACAGTCAACTAGACAATTCTTAGTTCCTTGTTTATCTAAAGTTAACAGTGCTGCATTATTTGGGTTGGTCATTTTCAATGAGAAGATTGATTGAATCAAAAGTCATATTAAACAGAAGTGAGTTTTTGGAAAAACTGTTTTATATGTGTCACACTGACACATATGTGACACTGATACTGACGATATTATTTCCGAAAGGTAAAGAAATTGTCACTATTCAGTTCAACAAACACGATGCTACACAAGCATTCTCTTAGTTTATAAATTATATTAATTATGCTAGTATATTGGTTGTTTATACTGATTTTCTCTGATTGGTTTGTATTCAACTGAAAATAAGCACCAATAAAAATCCAATTTTTCAAAATGTAGATAATACTTAAATGTTATCAGTACATTATGATAAGCAATAATGTTTTTTTTATACTGTCTAATATGTGAATATAAGTGTATTAGTAGAATTTAAACGTTTTCAAGTATTCAGTCAAAATTATTTCATTATCAGAAGAAGGTTTTGTGGAGATTTTAGTAATTTTATATAGTTGAGATCATTAGTCAATTGAAGCTAGACCACCATGGAAAGCCTGGAAGCACTGGATGGCCATTTCGTCCTATTGTTGGACTCCTCATCAGTGCGCATCCATGATCCTGCCTCGCGAGATTCCAACCCAGGACCTATCAGTCTGGCACGCAAGCAATTAACTTCTAGACCGCTGATCTGGCATCCAACGATGTTAATGTCTAACTTCAACTAATCCACGAAATTGAGCAACCATTCACCAATGTCATCAGTGAGTTGATATCTCCCAACAGACCTGGTTGGACTCCACTAGTTACTGCTTCCCACTAGAACTCCAGGAAATACCTCATGGAGCCATTCACTAGTGAGCATATGATGATGAAACGGCCGTCCAATTCTTCCAGGTGTTCCTTGGTGGTCTAGCTTCAATTGACTCATGATCTCAACTATATAAAGTTATTTCAGTTTAACTGAATTTTAAGTGGTTTAATTAACAGTTTCATTCAATATTTATTATTTGATAAAATATAATGTTAAAAAGAAAAAAAACTTTATACAATGATATACTCTTAACTGACAAAATCAGCAAATATGAGACATCATTATACACAACGATCTGTTTTGTCATAAAGACGTTAAACCCAAATTGTTCTCATAGAATCAGTTAGATTCTTTTAAAATAATACTTTGAAATCTGAGACAATAATGTCTGCAGGTAATACTCAGTTACCTCCTATTGAAATGATGAACTGATCATTGTTAGACCACCATTGAAAATCTGGAAGCACTGAACGGCTATTCCGTCCCAGTATAAGACTGCTCAGCAGGTTTTCAGTGGTGGCCTAACATTGTTCAGTTCAGGATTTCAATGAAATTCAACAATCTTCACAACTCCAAACTGAAGATAATCAATTGTTTGAAATTATTCATACGAAATTCTCAATTTGAGCTGTAAGATAAATTTATCTACACAATTGTTTGTTAGAATATACAGTGTATTGTTTTCAACAAGAAAATCGAAATATCTTATAAATCTATTATTACTTTTCTATATTTGTTACTAATGAAAAAATACACACCTTGTGTACTTGCAGACAATTAGTGGCATTTTTTCACATAGGTTACATGTCAACATACAATTTTTATGCTACAACTCATCTGATAACCAGAGCAAAATTATTTATCCTTTGGAAGAAGCCACTTAAATTTACAAGTCATCTTCTTCACTCAAATTTTCTTGTATGGCAAGCAGTTTACAAGAATAATATTGGATCAAACGATCGATTATTATAGTACAATCTTATTGATTAACAACACCGTTACTTAGTTATTTTTTTCTTCATGAATCATATCTATCGCCATATCGGTTCAATTGGCCTGTATCTCGATGTCACAATTAAGATTCCTGTTACCGGTACACGTATGAATCTAATAACATTGATCAATGTTTAATGATTAGCTAAATATTATTTTCTTTTCTCTAGTTTAACAAGAAGAACAGAAATATAAAATGAAACAATTAGTAAGAAATATATTTACAATACAATGCTTACATTAGCATCTTCTAATTCCTTATGAATTCTAGCAATTTGTTCTTCTAAATTTTGAATTGTATAATGTAAGTTATCATTGTTAGTTTTGGATAATTCTCTATTAATACAAAAGAAAAATAGACAATTGTAACATAATACAACTCAATGACTGTATGCAAGTTCACGTACTCAGTTTCGAGTTATACTTTTTAAGGCAAAAACCAAGTAATACAGAGTGGCTTCTCTAATCAAAATAGGTAGAATAGTGTTCAAATATGTAACGTAGTGGATGGAAAAACAATATCTTAACTACTAAATTGCGACCATGCTTAGATGATATCTCGTTAAGTACGTTGCTGGTGATGTCTTTATTTAATAATCAAAAACTGATATTATCAATTAGTTATATTCATTTCTTGCATTAGAAATATTAAAATAGATTTACTGAATGTTATTAAAATGAACATTTAAAGATATTTGTTAATTGATGTTATAAGCCAGTTGTATAGGTGAAATCAAACCACAAGGTAGACATCAATATCATAATTTGTGGGTTGGTTTAAGTTAAATATTTGACAAAACTAAGGATCTATCAAAATATGATAAATTCATCTAAAAACGGAATATTCTGAGTATTGGTGGCCTAGATCAAATCTCTGAATCTATAAATGTGGTACTAACAAATGAATATTGATGATCTCACCCATTAGTGAGTCTTTAAAAGAATTATAGAACAATACATGATGATACATAATCAAATAAAAGAATTCCGAATATGTGAGACTATGTATTGCATTAAGTATTAAGTTGGTCAACAGTTCTAAAAATTTCACATTAAATTCTGAATGAAGTTTTCGATACGTATTTCTTAGGAGTACTATACTAAATTTAAGTGCCAACCAGTGACTTCCAGTTTTCGTTGTTTCTTCAGCTGACATTGGTTCTTGAAGTAAATTATCTACATACTACGAAATCTTCAAGAAACCACCTAACTAAATATCATTTAGATTGTTTCTACTTTGTTATTTATTTATTGCATAATACTTGTGATTGTGAATGGAATAAAAATTTAGCATTTCTAGAGGATATGATGACTTTATATAGACAGAAGGAAATGTTGAAATAGAAGCTTAACAGTGTAATCTACATTGATTGTAAGTTATTATGTTTTTGAATAATTCAGAATTGTATGTTAATCAACTCAGTCAAATAGCTTACAACTTCGTTAGGTAGTTAAGTAGTTGCCTTTCTGGTCGACTAGCCAGATGTGTTATCTCTGCATTAAGGACGCTTAGTTCCATCGAAAGTTTGTAATTTTTATTTTTGGTTTCTTTCAATAATATTTGGTGTTCCGTACAAATTGATTTATGAAAGTCCAATGATTCTTGTGCATCACACTCTGGATCAAATAAATGCAAATTGTTTATGTTGTAATGAGAGCTGGATAGAGTGACTGATTTGGTCGGTAGGGAAGAAGGATGCTGTAAATTGGTAAATTGAAAATAAAATGTTTACGAAAACGTCTATTGAGGAGTTACTTCACACATACAGAGCGGGTTTGTCCGTATAAAAATGCATGTCAGTGGATATTCAAAATTAGATAGTTTACAGAAATCTTGGTTTTGTGCTACCATGCAATTTTGATGAGATTGATGCTTTAACCACTTAATATAAAAGAAGGAGTATTACAATGTTAGGTCACTTATGTTAAAGACTACATTTTAGTTTGAGGAATTTATTTTGATTTATATTAAATACTAAACAACATTAGATTAACTGTTGTTAGGTAGTCAATCAGTGTGGATCAAGGATTTTTAAAACATAATAGATTACTGGATAATGCTAATTCATACCAAGCCATAGTTTCTTATTTACAGTCTCCGATAAGATACAAACATTGATTCACATTCAGAAATATTTCTTTGAAACGTTGTCTAAAAGTGTTTTCCAGATTTATTTTCGGGCTTCATCAGTAAAGTAGCACAAACCAAAAAGAATTGTATGATGCTATTGAAATAGCTAAATTCAACGCGGTAATAAATCTCACTTTAATTGGTGGTAGAATATAAATCTTACATTAATTATTCAACGAGTGAGGAAAATGATTTTCGATTACCGGATTAGTGGATAAACTGATTACAGTCTCAAGAGTAGCCAGTTCAACGTCTCTAGAAATTTAAAATTACTATGCTCAAACAAGATTTGAAGGCTTAAGATTATATGAACACGAAAAAATCTGTTAGTATAATTTTCAAATCTGTACTAGCCTGTTGCATTAGACTATGTTGCGAATCTATTGTATTAAAGCTAACAATACTGAATTTTCGGCTATACGAAGACTGAAATCCCCTTTATGTGCTCAAAAACAGTTTATTCATACCCTTTACCTACCGTGGTAATAAAGATTTGTTATCTAGCGTGGTTTCCATTTTGATTTTCATATTGTTTTTTCCTATTACCTTCTCATTTGTTTAGTTGACCCTTTATTTTTAAAGATACGGTGTCTTAATAAATGTACATGCGGTCAGATGGTTAGAAATGTATTAGTCAAAAATATCTCATAGTTCTGATAACGTTCCCCTTCTCATTGCATTATCCAAATTTATCAAGATCAAGTGTTGTATATTTCCAGCAACACTATTTATTTATCTGAACTTAGGTGAATAGTAGTGAGTTCAAATATGTGATTTAATAATTGAAAGCTTGAAAAAAAGTCATAAAATAGATTAAGATGGTATCAGTTTGATTAATATCTATGGGAAAAACATTTTAAAAACAACAATACATAACTATTGAATGGCAGAAATAATATTGTTTAGGAGAGTACCAAACGCTCGTACTATATCATGGATTGGTCGAAGGTAAATCTTAACACCGTTGAATATCGACTCAGTGGTCTAGAGATTAAACGTTCGAGCGCAAGATCGAAGGTCTTAGGTTCGATCTCCGGCCACGAGTTCTTGGATTTACACTGGTGAGGAGCCGAAAGGGGCGTTCAGTGTTCCCAGTTGTTGTCTAACTTGAATCGGTTCATAATTTCAAATAACTACTTTAAAGTTACATGATAAGGAACATTCAACACTGAAAATGATAAATCCGTTGAAACTTACCGAGTTTTCATTGAGATCAGACTCGCGTGTTTCACACATCTGTTAGAAACAAAGCAAAATAAGTTGCGTATCATATTAACGACATAAACTGTTTATTATGTAGTGGTGTGTTTTAAATTTAAATGTGTACTAACTTATAGTTGTAAAATAGTAAGCGGAAATATTGTATTTGTATAATGATACTATGTATTTTTTGTTGAACTGTATCATAACATTGCACTAGTCGATATCATCTAGTTTATTTATGTAAGCTCAGTATTACATGACAAGTCCACTCTTCAAAAACACACCCATCTGATGACGTTATAAGTAGCTAGCTTAAATCCTATTTTCTAGCAGGTGATTGTTGGAAGATTTCGTACATTCTTGACGTATGTTTCATCACGAACAAGCGATGTCTGAAGAAGCATTGAGAACTAGGTTTTGAAGTTTCGTTTTATGAGATAGTAAAAGTGCACCACTGATATACGGCAAACTGAGGGGGGGGTGAATAATATTTTTAGTGTTAATGATACTTCGAAACTAGGTAATTAAGTTAGCTTTAGAAACCTTAACAATGCCTTAGAATTGTTATCCTTTATAACACCAGTAATAATCACAACCTATTTAACATATCCGAACAACTTTCAATGTTTGTTGTGTAATTAGTGAAGGATTGTTGTGATTCTAATAAAAATTTTGGAAGAATTACTATCATATCATATCAAAGGTTAACCATGATTGTAATTAATTTTAATCAAATGATTTACACTGATGATCATAGGTTCGGATAGTCAAGTTCACAGTTATTAGATTGTTAGTTTCAAACATCAAGGTGCATGTTGGGGTTTCAAAAAAGTCAGGGTTTTTTGGGTCTATAAATTTGCATTTTCCAATGTAATAGAGCAGCTGGAGCTAATGTATTCATGTCATTAGTAGACATAATAAAAGCCGAAATTGTCTGAACATAGATTTATGGTTTTCAAGAGATTTAATGCAAACACTTTGAAAATAAGGACTCTGAAGAATTTATTTAGAACTCTATAGTAGGCACATTGATAGACGATGATAAGACCTTGGGAATCGGATCTATCCTTGATTACTAACTGGATAACGATAACAATTACTAAAGCATTCACCAGTTGCGACAAGCAATGTTTTAATATTTATCTTCCAACTACATATTTGGAGACTTATACTAGATGTTCTGAGGTGAATAACTGAAGTTTAACAGGACCATAAGTGTAATATGGTCCGCTTGTGATGATATTATTTTGCAATTTGTCAACTGATGTTGCAATTATTAGTTTCTTTATTTTTTAGTCATGAGTCAATTAGGTCTTCAATTTTTATTACTTTGCTTGCTTACTCATAAGTATTAAAAGCATTTAATTGAATTCAGTGAATCAGAAATTTAAACGAATATCGTGTTACATAATGATCAATTTAGAAAATTGATCAGTGTAAGAATCCCAACTCTTATTCAAATTGACATACTCTAAACTAACTAAGGACGTGGAAGTATTTAAAGTGTCATGGAAAACAACAATCTTGTTTGACAGTCTTCACTTTTTTCCCACTATAGGATATTCAAGATTGAATGTCGATCATTCTCTGCTGGGATATGTTCATCTTCAGCAGATGACATGATATTACCATCAAGTTGAGAAGGGTCTGAGCGGCGCTGATGGTTAGAACTAAAACTGTTTCTTTGACTAGATAATACACAGATAAATTGCAAGTTGGAAAGCTTACTTCCTCGGACAATAAGATGTGAGATAAAGCTTCGTGATGTTTTAAATAACTTTCTGTTAGTGGAAAATGTACTTGTTCTCATAGGTTAATAGCTGTGAAATCAGTTAGATCAATACTTCAAAGGGTTAATTGTTTGCTAACTATTCAAATTTTGCAATAATCTTCCCTATTTTGATTTGTTTTAACTAATCAATTACCATACATTGACAACAGATATATGTTATCATAAATCTTAATGCTTTAAAACGAAAAGTAAGACGCTGCAAATGATAGTATTTTCTGCAGATCTTTATCTATCTTTCAGTGAAGCATAATGTAAGCATTTTGTAAATCATATCTATAAAGTTCCAATCGAGTTCTTCAAAATAATGTATCTGGGATATATACTGGCAAGAATAGGAATGAACTCATACCTTTATAAGTGATGAGGAGTATAAGATAACTATGGTCGCAAAACTGATTTTTATATGAATTTCCTAATTCTTTAGGATCTTAGTGTATTTTAGAAAGGAATTTGTTTCAATGTATGATACTAAATAATAAAATTATTATCAACATTATTATAATATAATCATGTACATTTTAATAGTTTCAAAGACTTCATCGATTGGTTGATTTTTAGTCAACTGGTACATGTATAAATCGGCGTATCAAAACACCAAAGTTAACTCAACTGTTCCGAATAGTACTTATAAGATACATAGTACAGTAATTACTTACTTGACTTAGCCTGACCAGACTGTTGTAAAATAATATATTACTATCTGTTTAGTACTCAGATAATTAATTTATCATTGTTGACCATTTGTGGTAAGTTGACTTTAGGACAAAACTGTGATGGTCTTAATTTTTAATGAATTAGAAAAGGAAACCTAATAAATAGATATTATTTATTGAGTCAATGTACTAAATTTAAAAAGGTCACTACTGAATATATCTAAAGAATAACTTAATGGTTGGTCTTTCTTTTTAAAGTTGGAAATTAAAGCAAACCTTGATTTTTCAACAAAAAAAAATAAGTATTTGGAAATATCACTTATTTTAGTTACTGAGGTCATGAGGATGCCTTAGATTTAAATCGGATTAACTCAATATCAAACTCCGCCTGTAGCTCTTCTAGAGTTACTGCCGGTCCCAAGCCCGGGTAAAGGAGGAGGGTTGGGCATGGGGTTAGCGACCCCATCCCGTAGAAAAGCTAACTCGCTAAAAAAACGCTAACCAGAAAAAATAATCCAAACCATTTAAACTCTGCCCTGGGAGTTGAAGGAATAGTTATGACGTCTCATGATGAAAGCCGAAATTCTTCGGAAGTCACGAGACCGATGCACCTTCTAACAACCAGAGCAACACTCTTTATAGGTACATGGAACGTCCGGACAATGTGGGAAACAGGAAAGACCAGCCAAATAGCAATGGAAATGAGGAGATACAACTTGGCAGTACTCGGAATCAGCGAAACCCATTGGACACAAACTGGACAACAAAGGCTAGGTACAGGAGAGATGCTGCTGTACTCCGGTCACGAAGGGGAAAATGCTTCACACACTCAGGGAGTTGCTCTAATGCTGTCCAAAGAAGCACGAAATGCACTTGTGGGATGGGAATCTCATGGACCCAGGATAATCAAAGCATCATTCAGAACAAAGAAGCAAGGGATCACAATGAATGTTATCCAATGTTATGCACCCACCAATGATAGCAACGACGATGATAAAGATCAGTTCTATGAAAGGCTGCAATCAATTATAGCAAAGTGCTCACGAAAGGACCTCACCATCCTTATGGGAGATCTAAATGCTAAAGTTGGAGTGGACAACACAGGATATGAAGATGTAATTGGACGACATGGACTAGGAGAGAGAAATGAAAATGGGGAGAGACTTGCAAACCTATGTGCTTTCAACAAATTGGTTATAGGCGGCACAATATTCCCACACAAACGCATACACACAGCTACATGGATCTCACCGGACCACACCACAGAGAACCAGATAGATCACATCTGTATCAACAAAAAATTCCGAAGATCAATGGAAGATGTGAGAACCCGGAGAGGAGCTGACATAGCTTCAGATCACCACCTGGTTGTGGCCAAGATGAGACTGAAGCTAAAGAAAGACTGGACAACTGGACAAACAGCACTACAAAGGTTTAATACAGCCTTCCTTCGAGATACTGACAAACTCCATGAATTCAAGATAACTCTCAACAACAGGTTCCAAGCTCTACAGGATCTACTGAAAGAACAAGAAACTACTTTGGAGGACAACTGGAAAGGGGTAAAAGAAGCACTAACTTCAACGTGTCAGGAGGTTCTTGGTCCTAAGAAGCACCATCACAAGGAATGGATCTCTATGGGGACCCTGGACAAACTTCAAGAAAGGAAGAACAAGAAACTAGCAATTAACAACAGCCGAACACGAGCAGAGAAAGTCAAAGCACAAGCAGACTACGCAGAAGCAAACAGAGAAGTGAAGAAAAGCATTAAAGCCGACAAGCAGAAATACATGGGAGAACTAGCAACGGCGGCGGAAAAAGCTGCAAGAGAAGGGAATATGAAACAACTATATGATACAACGAAGAAATTGGCAGGGAGATATAGCAAACCAGAGAGACCAGTCAAAGACAAAGAAGGAAAGACAATCACTGAGATTCAGGAACAGAGGAAAAGATGGGCAGAATACTTTGAGGAACTGCTGAATAGACCAGCCCCATTGAATCCACCGAACATCGAAGCAGCCCACACAGACCTTCCAATAGATGTCACTCCACCAACGATCGAAGAAGTCAAGATGGCCATCAGACAAATCAAAAGTGGGAAGGCGGCAGGACCTGACAATATACCAGCAGAAGCACTGAAGTCAGACATTGAAATAACTGCAAACATGCTTCACCTTCTATTCAAAAAGATTTGGGAAGAGGAACAAGTGCCAATGGACTGGAAAGAAGGATATCTCATCAAGATACCAAAGAAAGGAGATCTGAGCCAATGTGAGAACTACAGAGGCATCAGTTTGTTATCAGTACCAGGAAAAGTTTTCAACAGAGTGCTGCTGAATCGGATGAAAGACGCAGTAGACGCCGAACTTAGGGATCATCAGGCTGGATTCCGTAAGGATCGGTCGTGCACAGACCAGATTGCGACACTACGGATCATCGTTGAACAATCAGTTGAATGGAACTCATCACTATACGTCAACTTCATCGACTATGAGAAGGCGTTTGACAGCGTGGATAGGAGAACATTGTGGAAACTTCTTCGACACTATGGAGTTCCTCAGAAGATCGTCAACATTATCCAAAACTCATACGATGGATTACAGTGCAAAGTGGTGCATGGAGGACAGCTGACAGATGCATTTCCAGTAAGGACCGGAGTCAGACAAGGCTGTCTACTCTCCCCATTTCTCTTCCTTCTAGTGATTGACTGGATTATGACGAATTCGACATCCGAAGGGAAATACGGAATACAATGGACTTCTCAGAATCAATTAGATGATTTGGACTTCGCAGATGACCTAGCCCTCCTCTCTCATACACACTACCAAATGCAGATGAAGACAGCAAATGTAGCAGCAGCCTCCGCATCGATAGGCCTCCACATTCACAAAGGAAAAAGCAAGATTCTCAAATGCAACACGGAGAACACCGACCCAATCACACTTGATGGCGAAACTCTGGAAGAGGTGGAAACATTCAAGTACCTGGGGAGCATCGTTGATAAACAAGGAGGATCGGATGCAGATGTAAAGGCAAGGATTGGCAAAGCCAGGGCAGCATTTCTACAATTGCAGAACATATGGAACTCAAAACAACTCTCAACCAATTTCAAGGTGAGAATCTTTAATACGAACGTCAAGACAGTCCTACTGTATGGAGCTGAAACGTGGAGAACTACTACGGCCATCATCAGGAAGGTACAAGTATTTATAAACAGTTGTCTACGCAAAATACTCAACATCCATTGGCCGGATACTATCAGCAACAGCGTTTTATGGGAGAGGACAAACCAGCTTCCAGCTGAAGAGGAAATAAGGAAAAGACGTTGGAAGTGGATCGGACATACATTAAGGAAATCACCAATGTGCATCACGACTCAATCCCTAACTTGGAATCCGGAAGGGAAGCGGAAAAGAGGAAGGCCAAAGAACACACTACGCCGGGAAATAGAAGCCGATATGAAAAGGATGAATAGCAACTGGAAAGAACTGGAAAGGAAGGCTCAGGACAGAGTTGGATGGAGAATGCTGGTGAGCGGCCTATGCTCCTCGACGAGGGGTAACAGGCGTAAGTAAGTAAGTAAGTAACTCAATATCAGTTTAATAATAAAGTTTTATGAAATATTTTGTACAGCTGTTGGAAAGATTCATTTTGAAGTGATAGGGGATTAACGTTAAATGCATATAATATTCTGTTATAACGTATGCGTCCGTAATATATATGAACGTGCAATTAAAGAGGAGTGGATTTTACTGATCGGATGCAAATGATACTTGAAATACGTACGAGCAGTCTTGGGTGCTATTCGGTCCTTCCCATCTGCCTAGCCCAGCCAGTTGAGTGCAGAACACAAATAACAGCCTCGACAATATGAATCATTATTTACAAACACACTGGGTTTTTATACAAACCAAAGTAATCAATAAACTGATTATAAAGTTGAGATCATGAGTCAATTGAAGCTAGACTACCATGGAAAACCTGGAAGCACTGGACGGCCGTTTCGTCCTATTATGGGACTCCTCAGCAGTGCGCGTCCACGAACCCACTCTCGCGGGATTCGAACCCAGGACCTACCAGTTTCGAGCCGAAGCCCGTAACCGATAGACCACTGAGCTGGCATCCAACGGTGTTAATTTCTAACTTCAACTGATTCACGAAATTGAGCAACCATTCACCAATGTCATCAGTGAGTTCCTATCTCACAACAGACCTGGTTGAACTCCACCGGTTACTGCTTCTCACTAGAACTCCAGGAAATACCTCAAGGAGTCAGTCACTAGTGAGCACCTGATTATTATCAGAAGGGGTTTTGTGGAGATTTTAGTATTTTTATAGAGTCTAGCTTCAATTGACTCATGATCTCAACTCTATAAAAATACTAAAATCTCCACAAAACCCCATCTGATAAACTGATTATAACTCAAGAATCGTATGATCATAAATCAAAGATCAAAATAAAGTTCATGATAAGAGAAAACGAATATGAATAATTTAGTTACGTAACAACTGTACAATAAGAAATAGTCATAATACATTGGTCGATAAATAGTCCTTAGAGTTATCATTCATAATTCACCAGGGGATATAACATATTCATTTATTAATTTGATGCATTATTTGATTAAGGATTTGTGAAGTTTTGTCCCATTGAAAAATAACTTTAATCTTGGGTCTATTTAATTGACAAATGTTATGGGAATAAAAACACAAACCATGAAAATACACATTGTTGTTTGTAACTGTTATATCCTGACGAGAATGATGAATGGTAACTGTTGGGATCTATTTATGGACTAATACTATGAATATATGTTCATCATATAATTGTTAAGTAACTAGATTATGTATATTTATATACCATTTATTATGAACTTTATTTTGACCTATAGACTGTTATTATACGATTTACCATTCTTAAGTTATACCCAGTTTATTAATTACAGTTTCCCACAATGACAGCCACTTTTGACTAGATTTTAAACAATTGTTACTTTCTATTTTATTGTATGATGTCGGTTGTTTGGCTTTTATATAAACCAAGTATGTTTGAAATATATGATTCATATCGTGGAGGCTGAGATTTGTGTTCTGGACTCAACAGGCAGGATTAGGCAGGAAGAAGGACCGATAAGAACTCTATATTGCTTGTACGGGTTTATGCGTCATTAGACACAAGTTATAACAGTAACATAATAAGGAGAATGGTAAGTTATATAATTTCATTTAGTTTATAAGAATTTCCAAGCATAAATACCAGCAATAAGCGAGCTTATTTGGACAAATTAAATAATTTAGCTACTGTAGTCATGTGATACGCACAAAAAATGTTTAAATTATGAAGATTTACAGTTCAGTTGATGAGTACGCTAAGCTTCTCTAATTTGTGTGACTAGTTAGACTTAAATGAAAGAAAACCTATAATTTCTGTTAATTACCATTTTGTTTCACTACTACCTACATGATTTTTAATATTCGGTGGTAAGTTGATAAAATTGATAAGCATAAGATTTGCATGCACTCAATCAAACTATACTTTTGAAAAAAGCAAAGGCGTTCACCATTTTGCAGTTATTTATACTTTATCGTGACAGTTAATCCTACAATGATTGTTAAGGAAAGTATAGTCAGATTAAATGAAGGCAGTCAAATGTTTGATATTTAGTTTTTGTGAAAGGTATTCACGTAAAGCATTGATCCCATTCTGAAGTGAAAGTTGGTAACTGAGCTATAAATTTAAACCAATAGTTATCAATCTGCTATGTAAAATACATTGAATACTTACTTGATCATTTAGTGTTTGTTGATAAGTTTTTAATTTCGTTAATATACCTTGGTAATGACATTGATAAGATTCATAAATGATAAGTAATTGTTTTCTAAGTTTCATAATTTCCTCCAAATTACCAGTATTATCCAGCTGACTAAATTAAGAGGAAAAAAAGACGGAAAATGTCAAATGAACAGTCCAAATATAAATAAATAAAATATAAATAATCATGACGTATAATCCATGTGTGACAAAAAACAGATTATGTGCAAACTTAATCAAATTTTGCATATCAGTTATAATACATAGCGGTTGAGCATTTGAAATAATTTTTTTGGATTACTGAGATAAATGTCAGCTGATAAAGTTTATGAGTTAAATGACAAATATGTCCCAGGAATCATTCGGAAATCAATGTTTGACTTTAATAGTTGAATTCACAAGCCAATTAAAGCTAGACCACCATGGAAAACTTAAATGTTTTGATTTTGAAATATGAAAACTTTAGTCACCTTTGATATGCTTATGGAATCTTTGGGGGATTTTATTAAAATTTCATCTTGATCCGATTAATTATTTGTTGAAAATTCACACACATGATTATTAGTGACTTGACTGTTAAAATCACATAAATCTATTTATTACTCGACATTAGTTTATTTTTAAGCATCAAATAGAAGCCATTGTTCTTCATTTAATTTCTGTTTAAAACATCAGTATTCACAAAGATGGAATTATTCAAATTCTTAATGCATACAAGGTCTCAGGAAGTACGTGCTTTATTAATTGTTATTCTGTGAAAAAACTGTATTTCACCAAGGAGTCTAAAACAATTACATCAAGTTTCAGTTCTTTTGAATCTAAACAAACCTTCGTATAGTTACTGTTGTAACAAAAGTAGATACGTTATAAATGTCTTGCTCAATGTCCACTTGTATTTATGGAACACTCCAGGCGATTACCATAGTTCACTTATGTAGGTATCAATGACAAGGTTGGATTTGATTGTTTCAAATAAATTGAGTATTGGGTAAAAAGTTATTAACAAATATACTTTTGTTATATCCTAATGAGTAAAAAAGAGTATTTTTTACGTTTCGTGACCTAATGTAAGCCACTTTTTCAGAGCAAGCAAAATTAATTTACTCTGAAGAAGTGGCCTACATTAAGTGACAAAACGTCAGAAATACAATTTTCCTACTCATTGGGATGTAACAAATGTATAATTATTATAGTTCACTTATGTTCGTACCGAAATGACACATAACATTCGTCATTCGGTTTATTCACTACGTAAAAATCATAACAACCACACAGTTTTTTTTAATCGTTTATAAACCGAAACAGAGATATAAACATTCAGAATATGTGACGAAATGAATGAATTATATTAGGAAGAAACAAATTTTGATTAAAAAACAACCTTTAATAGAATTACCTTCTAAGATTATCACCATTATTATTGCATGTTATATTTTTACAATAAACACCATTATTGTCAGTGATTTTGTCACTGTAATCACTTTTTTCAAAAGGCTGTTGATATAAAAAGAACAATTTGAAAAACTCAAATAAGTTAAAACACACTGGAGAATATATATATATATATATATATAACACTTCCTTTATTTCGATTACACAGGGAATTGGAATAATAATACGCCTTACATCAAACATACGATCAGACTAACCCCTGAACAAGAGTTTATTTTCGTGCTAAGATTCAAATTCAGTATCCACAGGCTCAAACACCAACCCACTGTCCACTAAATTGTTCAACGAATACAATGTTTATTTGTAAGTGTCGACATTTCCCATTTAGTTAACATTCATGGTTCACGTATAGTAAAACCCGGGAATAAAAATGTGAGCACCAGGAGATCCGTTCAGAAGGCAAGAATCACAACAAAATATAATAAAAGTTTAGTTCTAAGTATATCCTAGTGTTGATGTTCATACTGATGTTCTCATCCAGCTGGTGAATACTAAATTGCACCAAACGTATGTACTGAATAATACCGCTTGCCACAATCCGTCTATTATATAAAACATTGTATGCAAGCGGATATTTGATAACAATCCACTAAGAGAACATATTAGAGAACAAAGACAAATCGAAATTTCAGTACCGAATATTAATAACAATTAATAACAATTATAATTTCACTAAATTCTTTGATAAAATCTGCATTCACATTGAATAACTCTTCAAAAATCACTTAATTGTATAACTATTGCATATCACTACTGGCCAGCCGGGAGTTGAATATCTTAGAGTTTTAGCAAGAAACATTGATCCGTAGGGTCAACCACGTTATAAGTAGGACAGTTACCAACAGTTGACATCGAATGAAGGTTTCCTTACACCAGGAATTGATTGAAACTTGGCAATAATCACATAATGATAACTGAAGATCATAGGTTTCTTGTTATTTCGAATACCAAATTATGAAAGCTAAATGGTGCTTTAATTAGTAGTCCAGCGTATTTTATTTAATTATTAAAATTATTTTCGATTAAGGTTCTGTTTACTCCTTAAAGTAATATGTGGGCATAAAAGTAGAAACTCCACTTGTAGCTCTTCTAGGGCTACAGCCGGTCCCAAGCCCACATAGAGAAGGAGGGTTGTGTGAGGGGTCAGCAACCAATCCTTTAGAAAGCAACCTTGCTAAAACCGCCAACCAGAATAAACCATTTAAACTCTGCCCTCCGAGTTGAAAGAGAAACTGTGAAGTCTCATTATGAAATCCGAGGTTCTTTGAAAGGCATGAGGTCGATGCCTTTTTTAACAACAAGAGCAAAATTTTTTATAAGTACATGCAACTTCCAGACAATGTGAGAAACCGGAAAGATAGCAACGAAATTGAGGAGATACAACTTGGAGTTTCTTGGAATCAACAAAACCCATTGGACATGCGCTGGGAAGCAAAAGCAAGATACGGGAGAGATGCTGCTATACTCCGGTCGAGTAGAGTAAAATGCTCCATACACTCACGGAGTTGCTCAGGTGGTGTCCAAAGAAGCACGTAATGCACTTATAGGATGGGAATCTCACGGATCCGGGTTCATCAAAGCATCATTCAAGACAAAGAAGAAGGGAGTCACGATGAATGTTATACACCCACCAACGATAGCAATGACGACGATAAAGATTAGTTCTACTTGAGGGTGCAACCAATAATAGTGGAATGCTCAGGAAAGGACCTGACAATTTCGATGGAAGACCTAAACACAAAGACGGAATGGACGACACTGGGTACGAAGATATGGGACGGCATGATCTCGGAGAGAGAAAGGAAAAGGAGGAGAGATTTGCAAATCTATGTGAGTTCAACAAAACGGTTATAGGTGGCACAACATTTCCACGCAAACACATACATAAAGCCGGACCACACCACAGAGAACCGGATAGATCATATTCGTATCAAGAAAGATTTCTGAAGGACAATGGAAGATGTGAGAATCATTAGAGGAGCTGACATAGCTTCACATCATCATCTGGTTGTGGCCAAGATGAAATTGTAGCTAAAGAAACACTGGAAAAACGTTGAGAAAATCATCAAATTGCATCACGCAGCAAGTGTTAACTTGGAATCCTGAAGGGGGACGAAAAAGAGATAGACGGAAGGACAGTGAAATCAAAATGTTTCGTTACCCTACGTTACCTTATCTTGAAAAAGAAAATGTTTAACCGAAATTTCCTAGTTATATTTCAGTCGGTTGTATTATAGGTCAATTTAATAAATTTATCGATTTCCAACAAATCAACCTTTTATAAAATAGATTGATTATTTACTTTCTTGTCATGAGTAAACCTTGTCTATTGAGAAAAAAACAAACAAACAAGAAAACATTATGTATAGACAAAACCGATTGATTTTTATTTAGTTCTGTGAATTTTATACGCTTGTTGGTTTATTCTTTATGCGAGATGAAGCTAGAATATTATGTTGAGATAATTTTACAAATGTTTATGATTAGTTTATGCTTTCAGCAGATTTATTAAACTTTTACTTAATGGTCAGTGATATTCAATGTTCAATATTTGGCGTGAAAAATTTTAACCTGTTTTTTCGCTTATTAAAAAAAATACATAGTCTTAACAATAATTAATATTCTTTATCTAATATCTAAAAGTTTTAAGACCATTTAATCTGAACTTGGCCAATGGGAAGATTCAAACAAACAATACTAAATGAATTTAAACTTCACCCCATTGCACAAGCAATTGACTATCAGGACTCAGTGGTCGAGTGGAGAACGCGATGGCGTTTGAAGTGAAAGTTACTGGGTTCGAGTGATCATCAACTCTGAGATGAAGGTATATCCAGCTGACGAGTCACAAATAGGACGAAACGCGCGTCCTGGATTCCACTGCTGGTTAATATCCATCTTTGCTTGCCATGCTTGTGAATTTAGTCTATATTGAGGCAATACGCACAGTATGCATATATGCCAATTAGAGACTGATCAGTTGCAGTGCAAAAACACCAATGGGAAGATTCAAACAAACAATACTAAATGAATTCTTATAACTAGTTTATGTCAGATGACTGAAATAATTTAATATCTTCATTATAAAGCCAATTACTACAGTGATATTGTTTCTGAATATGATAATGAATAACGTGAATAGGAGTACCATTCTGATCTAAATTGTATGTAGTCTTAGGTGAATAATCTCACTTAAGTAAAAACTTAATTACAGGGCTTTTGCAGATTCACTCCAGTCAGCCTAAAACCAAATGAATTATATCCAGTAGATGAGCTACTTACTTAGTGTTCAAATTATATTAGGATCAAAAGAATTCAATCATGAATAAAGACTAGCAAACATAACAGTGATGTCTACTAAACGCTCAGTTGGTGTCTTTATTGTAATTTGTAAATAAATATCTTTAGACAAAACTTTTACACAATCTGTTTAGATAATCGACTTTAATTAATGTTGACCAAACACATTTTCTCTTAGCTGTGACGAATAGTAATACACCTTCAAATATGTGTCAATTTCTATAAAGATAACTGTTTCAAAGATTCTTCATTTTTCCTGAGTCGAACTCAATCATTTTGATATAGTTACATATTTTGAAAAAAAAACATTTCAGGTTTGAAAGTTTGATTGATTTTTCGACAAATTTCTTCTGATTTTATTTTGTACTTTTATGTATCTAATTGTATTGATCTCAAATCTTATAAACTAATTTAGAATTCATAACTTACATTATAACTACAAAGAGAATGGGAGAATTAACTGTAGTATTAGACTTGTTAGCAACGATACATCATAACTCAATCAGAGTGGAATTTTATTTTAAACTAATTTCATGCCAGCGAACTAAAATTTTACAAATTATCTACTGTTGATAGTGTAATAGATTGTTACGTGAAAAATTTGAAAACTCCAATTATTATTAAATAGGAATAATATAATTGTAAAATCTCAGTAAAATCTCCTTGAAAAAGCTTGGATCAGATTGCCAGGCGAAACGTTGGATTTACTCCAAATTCATTCGCTGAGATTTTACAAATATATTATTTTAATAGTTGATAGAGTGAGTCAATTGAAGCTGAACCTCCAGGGAAAACCTGGAAGCACTGGACGACCGTTTCACCCTGTTGTGGGACTGCTCAGCAGTGCGCATTCACGACCTCGCCTCGCGAGATTTGAACCCGGATCAGTGGTCTATCGGTTAAGTGCCCCGACGCGAGACTGGTAGGTCTTGGGTTCGAACCTCGCGAGGCAAGATCGCGGATGCGTACTGCTGAGAAGTCCCATAATTGGACAAAACGGCCGTCCAGTGCTTCCAGGTTTTCCCTGGTAGAATAGCTTCAATTGACTCACGCTTTTAACTATGAAAATACTAAATCTCCACAAAAAAACCCTTTCTGAAAATATATTACTCATATTTAATGTCTTTCATCAACTCGGCGCCTAAATACTGTGAAACTATTCACTCTAATTTAAACGAAAGTTCTCATATATCCAAGTATTATTATTATAATTAATAAATGAATTTAGATTTTTTTCATGAATATTTGAATGCTTTCTAGATGTAATTTAAACACTGAAATAGATATCATATTGTTGACTATGATTTTCGAAAATCCAATAAGTATCTGCCATAATAATATATTATTCAGTTCATTTATGTTTCATTCTTCATAGTAAAACAAAAAAATTGTGTAGTGAACAATTTTAGTGCTCTTAACTGCAATAAAACTATTGGTTTATTGACTCACTATGAGTGATTACTACCAGTTTGTTAGTGTTTTAAATGTTATAAGCGTTATTATTTTATTGAAAAGAAAAGGTATTTTACACCAAGAATACTCTAACGACGAGAGCTTAACAGATGAACTAGATGAACTCAAATTCTCTTAACAACCACTCGTATACATTGGAAATTATAAGGTCAAGAAATTGTGAAATTAGAATTTAACAGATTCGTGAGAGTTTATTATGAAAGTGTCATTATTCAAAGATAGTTAACTAATTTATAATTAATATATCTTAAGATGTATATTAAATGATT